CTTAATATACCCAGTTCATCTTCAGATTTCCCTTATTTGTCTGAAAACTCTTTGTAACTGGTGTGTTCTATTGACATCCAGACAAGATCCACACGTGTATTTGATTGAAATATCTTTGAATCTCTTTTTATCTGCAGCAAGCTTTTAAATTTGTTTTTCCTCATACCATACACTGTTGAAAAACTGAGTCTTTTGGTCTCTAGAAGTTTTAACATTCTGGATTTGGCCTGTTGCTTCCTTTTGCTGTCATGGATAAATCTACTTATCCCCATATTTCTGTAAACTGGTATTTAGATGTAGAGATGTGATTAGCTTCAGATTCTTTTATTCCCTCTTTCATTTTCCTCCTTTTTTCTTTTCAGCATAATATTTTGTATGTGGGACTTTGTAATTTCTGTTGTATAGTATTAGAGAGGTACATAAAACTTGGTTGTGTAACTTTCAATGATGATAAAAAGAATGAACAGATTCAGGGGCGCCTGGGTGGCTCAGTGGTTGAGCATCTGTCTTCGGCTCAAGTTGTGATCCTGGGGTCCTGGGATTGAGTCCCACATCAGGTTCCCCGCAGGGAGCCTGCTTCTCTTTCTGCCCCCCCCCCCCCCCCCGTGTCTCTCATGAAAAAAAATGAAAGAAAGATTCAGGTGTTGTTAGCCTTATGTGGCCATTTGCTGTCAACCTTTCAAGGTTTTAGCATCCATTGGCTATCTGTTGCTTAAATCCATCATCTCTAGAGGGTTGAAAATTCATGATTTTTCTACTTTGATCGTTCCTTCTGCATTTATTAGCTATTAGGGAACTTCCAAAAGAAGCAGTTAGTATTTGAGTGTTGGCTTAGTCAACAAGAGAACATTAATTCTTTTTTAAGAGAGCATATTTTTAAGTTTCATTTTAGAGCCAAGTTACATATTAGAAAGCTCTATGCATTTCATGTCCTCAGTTTGTGGGAAACAGAATTCAGAGGTTTGAAAAAGAGAGTTCATCTACAAATGCTGTTTTGACCATTTGGCCATACCTTACTGCATATTTATATATGTATGTATGTATGTATGTATGTATGTATGTATGTATCTGTTTTTTTCTTTAAAGACTCATTTATTTATTTTAGAGAGTGTGTCGACAGTGGGAGGGGCAGGGTGAGAGGGAAAGAAGCAGACTCCCTACTGAGCACAGAGTCAAACATGGAGGCTTTATGTCATTACCCTAAAATCATGACCTGAGCCAAAACCAAGAGTTGGACACCAAACCGACTGAGCCACCCAGGCACCCACCCTTATTGCTCATATATTACAAATACTTTAACTATGTGCTATTTTTTTAACACTTTGAATTGTCAGACTAGAGAGTGGTTATCTTTTGGGAAGTTTCCCTTGAATAGAGATTATCTTTTTGACAGTGATCATTGTTTCAGTGATTTAAGAACATATACAAAGCCATATATAAATGAGTACAAATAAGTATCCTGCTATTTGAAAAGTGACATCAAAATTATGTAAGTGAAATCTCATCCGTCTGTAGGGTGAACAAAGCACTATGACTTATGTTTTGATATGCAGTTATTTATAGAAATATGTTAATATAGTTTCTGTTATAAATGTTATGCCTGTATATTGGTATTTATGTGTGTGTGTAGGTATATATATTTATGTCTGTATGTATTGGCTAAACATAGTACTGTAGCAGCTGTTTACACAGAAATTTGTTATTGTATATTATCCCTTTAGCCCTGACATTAGAAATTTATTAAATGGGCCAGAAGATTTTGAGGGAAACTCCTATGACCTCAGTATAATGATTTTTGTTATGAGTTCCTGCCAAGATATTATCCATATACAAATAGGGTAGGTTTACCTGGATTTAATTAATCATATTTTGAGTGGATATTAAATGATTTCTCTTATACATAGTTTTATAAATAGTGTTACAATAAACATCTCAAATCTGCAGGTCTTTGTCTAGTGGGAATTACTTTCTTAGGATAAATTCCCAAAAATGGGGTTACTGGATCAAGGATGTTTAACTTTTGGTATTTGTTACAAAGTTGCATGTTTACCATGTTCTGGAAATGCAGAGCTTTGGGGACATTTAACACCATGGAGCTTTTAAAGAATATTTCTAAAGATACATGTTGTTGTGTTACTTTTTTTTAAATACTATTTTATCATTCGGGAAAAATCCTTAAAATATGTCAACCAAATTTATGGTTGACATTAAAGTAACACTTTAAAAAAGTGTTACCTTTTTAAAATTACTTTTAGTATAAGCAGCAGCATTAGAGATGAGGATCTTGATAAAGAATTTCTACTTTCTTTCATTACCAAAGTGTCAGTGGTGCAGCTTCAATTTGAATCATGAGGTTATGTGTTTGTGACTGATTTACATGCTTGAATTTAACTGCTTTTGTGCTGAAAGGGTTTGTTTGTTTGTTTTTGGAAAGTTTTTTTATGCTTAACCATTAACTACTTCAAAATAACAAAGTTTTTGCCATACTCTTTAGTAGTATATTCAGAGTTTGATCTAAACCTTTAAGTGTAAGTCTGGGCAGCCCTGGTGGCTCAGCGGTTTAGTGCCGCCTTCGGCCCAGGGTCTGATCCTGGAGTCCCGGGATCGAGTTCCATGTCGGGCTCCCTGCATGGAGCCTGCTTCTCCCTCTGCCTGTGTCTCTGCCTCTCTGTCTCTCTCTGTGTCTCTCTCTCTGTCTCTCTCTCATGAATAAATAAATAAATAAATAAATAAATAAATAAATAAATAAATAAATAAATAAATAAAATCTTTTAAAAAAAGTAAGTGTAAGTCTTTGTATTTTGACCAAAATATCTCATGTTCCCTAAAAAATAGTATTATAGATCAGGAATTGCCAAAATTCTTTTGCCAAACTTGGGGCTTTGATCCCACGACCCTGAGATCATGACTAGAGCTGAAATCAAGAGTCAGATGCTTGGCTGTCTGAGTCACCCATGTGCCCTGACTTCTTCCTTCTATATAATTTTTGAAGAATTTTTAAAGCAATTGATACTGTAAATCAGTCAAAGGCAACTTACTAATATCTATTTTATATGCATTTGCCCTTCTGTTGAGCATTTCCTCAGGGATCCATATTGTAGAAATATTCTAGTGTATTTAAAGAAGATCTGTTGAAGGGTCTATAAATGCAATGGTACCTTTAACAGTGAAAAATATAAAGAAATATCCACCAATAGGGAAATTGCTTTCTTTCCTTTTTTTATAATTTTATTTATTTATTTATTTATTTATTTATTTATTTATTTATTTATTTATTTATTTATTTATTTATTTATTTATTTAGAGAAAGAGTGTGTGTGCAAGCTGGGGAAAGGACAGAGTGAGAACGAGAGCCTTTAAGGCGGACTCCGTGCTAAGTGTAGAGCCTGATGCTAGGCTGGATCACACAATGCTAAAATCATGACCTGAGCTGAAATCAAGAGTCTGACACTTAACTGACTGAGCCACCCAGATGCCCCCACCAGTAGGGAGATTATTAAGTAAACTATGTACATTTACATAATGAAGTCAGCAATTATTACCAAAAATAAGGTAGCTAAGTATTGACACTGAAAGATGGAACAAGCAAATTGAAAAAGCAAATATAGTATACTGTCATTTTTAAAAATAAACAGCTCTTATGTATATTTATGGATAGAATTTAGAGGGAATTACATTGTATCTTAACATGAGTGTGAGTTTTGGATGAAGACATGGTCTTTCACTTTCTTAGGTATTTAAGTTTTCAGCAATGAAAATATTGATTTTAAATTTTAAAAATATTTCTTTTTTAAAAGAAGGAGTGAACAAATAATTTTTAAAATAACAGCATAAAAAAATAAAATAACAGCATAGGCATTAGGTGAGTATTGATTTTTAAAGTATTCAAAACATTTTGTAAGCTTTTCTGTAATTTCCTCCAGAACCATGTAACAACCTCAGTTTGTGCCTCCGTTCTTTCCTGGTTGTGGAATATTAGATCTCATGGCAGCAGTCACTTAGAGCTAAAATGAGACTTTGTATAGGGGAGTGAGACAGGAGCAGTGTATGAAGAAGCAGTTAACTATAGAAGTAGGACAACTAGAATGTAACTGCATTAAGAAGTCTTAAACCATGAAGAGTACAAATAGTACTAAGTTCTAAGGGCAAATTTTGAATGAGAGGTAGGATAAGGAGTATCATAAAATCTCAGTTGGTGGCTATGGCAAGAATAAGGGCGCAGAAACAAATCATGTTTTGTGTGTGCAAGGCAGAAAGCAATTTCATTGTGAATTGTTCTCTGAAGTAGGTTCACTACCACATTGATCAATAGGAATTACCAGGACAAGGTTCAGGAGGATTGATATGAGTAAGGAAATTGGGAGAGTGGTATATGGAAAATGCTAGGCCAGGGAGCTTATGTGGCAGTCACAGAAGGTGAGTGTGTTAGTCCCAGTTGTATCAATTGATGGTCACATCATCACTACTTAACCATTTCATTAATTGCTCATCTTACTACAGGCTGCTGCTTGTATTTTTTCATAAGCAAACCTTGGTTCATTATGAAGTTTCTTATTTCTTAACTTTAAATGATATTTTCCATGGCTTTATTACTTCTTGGCACACTAACACATACCTACAGTTTTGAACATTAAAATGTATACTTCATTCACATTGACACTGGGGCCCATGTAGATTCAGTATGTTCTTCATCCTGTTTAAATTGTTTCTGCCACTTTTGTCCTCCCCTGTGCGTAATGCCCCCAGTGCCACTGAGTATGTTAAATAATGTTCATTCTTCAACTGTATTTGAACTTGGAGGAGAGACATTGATTTTACTTAAAAGTTTTGTTATGACCCAGAATCTAGATAGGATATATAGGATATATCTTGTCCACAGGGTGTCTGCCTAGTACAAAAAAATATTTGTATAGACAATAAAGTAAATGCTTAATTTTAAATTGATGAGCAGAACAAAAATGAATGGAATTTTCTTTGATGCAATTTTTTTCCCCCTCCAGACCAGAATCCGTAGAAGCTAGCCCTGTGGTAGTTGAGAAATCCAACAGTTATCCCCACCAGTTATATACCAGCAGCTCGCATCATTCACACAGTTACATCGGTTTGCCCTATGCGGTAAGTGTCAAATATTTTTCTGGAGCAGTATTTTTTCTATCTAGAAGTTGAAAGTAGATGTTTGAGGTATTGTGCATAAAACTGAATATTTAAAAGACAATACTGTCTTATATTATCTAAACAATTAGATATTAAATTTGCAGTTTAATTTTTTTATTGCTCTATCTTCACGGGATTAAAATTCTAGAAGAGGCATTCTCTACAAGTTTTAAAATTATTATTATACTGTTAATAGTTTAGTGTTAGAGTTCTTTATATTCTCTATAAAAAATTCATGGAATTGCATTCACTATCTACCGTTGATTCTGTATTTTACATTGTAATTTATATAGTAAATTACGTAATTACCATTTATTGAGCACTTCTGTGTCATACTTTTTCTAAACATTTTTACATGTATTATCTCATTTAATCTTTAAAACCAACCTCATGAATGGGTATAATTGTAATCCCTGTTTCATAGCTGAAAAAATGAAAGCTTATCTAAATTAACTTATTCAGTGTTTCATAGCTAATAAGAGGCAGAGGTTAGATTGAAAGTTGTAGAACTGGACACATTTGTGATACTGTCCAGGTACAATTATTATTATTTTTTTAAATATTTACTTATTCATGAGAGAGAGAGAGAGAGAGAGATAGGCAGAGGCACAGGCAGAGGCACAGGCAGAGGGAGAAGCAGGTTCCACGCAGGGAACCTGACGTGGGACTCAATCCCGGGTCTCCAGGATCATGCCCTGGGCTGAAGGCGGCACTAAACCACTAAGCACTGGAGCTGCCTAAAAAACCAAATTTTAAAAAATCTTCTGTTACATGCTTTATAGTGATAATATGTCTTTATTAGTCATTTTGTTTTTTGTTTTTTGTTTTTTTTATAGTTTTATGGTTTTATTAGTCATTTTGTTATTTATTTATTTTTTTTTAGTATCCACATTCCTGAAGTGTTTTTCTTTTCTTTTTTTTTTTTTTTTTAACCTCTGGTACCTGCTTCTATCTTGAAGGTGGAGCTCTTTGACCATAGGAGTTTTTTTGTGTGTTTTAAAGATTTTATTCATTTATTCATGAGAGACAGAGAGAGAGAGAGAGAGAGAGGCAGAGACAGAAAGAGAGAGAGAGAGAAGCAGGTTCCCTATAAGGAGCCCGATGTGAGACTCGATCCCGGATCCCGGGATCATGCCCTGAGCTGAAGGCAGATGCTCAACTGCTGAGCCACCCAGGCATCCCTGACCATATGACTTGTAAGGATGTCTTTTTTTTTTTTTTTAATTTTTATTTATTAATGATAGTCACACACAGAGAGAGAGAGAGAGAGAGAGAGAGAGAGAGGCAGAGACACAGGCAGAGGGAGAAGCAGGCTCCACGCACTGGGAGCCCGACGTGGGATTTGATCCCGGGTCCCCAGGATCGCGCCCTGGGCCAAAAGCAGGCGCCAAAACCGCTGCGCCACCCAGGGATCCCCATGGATGCCTTTTGATTGGAGGGATGAGGGCAAGAGTTTAAGGGAAGTCACTGTGTAGGTGACTGAGGTTTTAGGTAGACATTTTCACTTCCTAGTATGGTTTAATATCGAGCTTTACCATGTCATTATTTTAAAGGTATTAAGGGGGATCCCTGGGTGGCGCAGCGGTTTGGCGCCTGCCTTTGGCCCAGGGCCCGATCCTGGAGACCCCGGATCGAGTCCCACGTCGGGCTCCCGGTGCATGGAGCCTGCTTCTCCCTGTGCCTGTGTCTCTGCCTCTCTCTCTCTCTCACTGTGTGCCTATCATAAATAAATAAAAAATTTAAAAAAATTGCTTTAAAGGTATTAAGGAAGAAATGGACCAATTTCATATTTCTTGAGAATGTAAATTAAGGATCAAATTTTATTTGTGTTCATATTGTTGAAATTATATTGTGCTGTATTTGTGTTCAATTATCCAGGACCATAATTATGGTGCTCGTCCTCCTCCAACACCTCCGGCTTCCCCTCCTCCATCAGTTCTTATTAGCAAAAATGAAGTAGGCATATTTACCACTCCTAATTTTGATGAAACTTCCAGTGCTACTACAATCAGCACATCTGAGGATGGAAGTTATGGTACTGATGTAACCAGGTGCATATGTGGTTTTACACATGATGATGGATACATGATCTGTTGTGACAAATGCAGGTAAAATATTTTACACCATTAGTTTACCTTTTTGAATTTTGCTAACCTTTGATATTTAATCTTGGAGAAGATAGGGTCACTTTTAAAGGAATTGATGAATGCATTTTTTGATGCATTGCTGCTATCAATGCCCAGTGTGTTTTGCTAGAAAAAGTCCCTATGGCAAAGAAGCTCTCTTAGAGTTTATTAGAAATCTTCATTGTTGACTGAGTAATAGGCAATCAGTTCTGAACTTTATTCATATAGGATCCCATCTCTCTTTTTGCTCATTCAGTAATAATACAACTACATGTAGTGGTAGACAAGATAGAAAAATGAGCCCTCTGAATTTCCTTTGGAATTATTTGTGCTGTATAGTAAACTGTGATTTTCCAGTTTGGGGGAATTATACATTTTGATTGATGTTTGTTTGACCTGACTCTCTCACCTCCTTTTGACTTGAACCTTGCAGCACTCTGGAGTCTCCTTGAACCAGAACCACAGTCTCCCCTCCCCCAACCCTGGTTCAACCACCAAGAAAGGCCTCCTCCCCTAGAGAAGGTGTGATTGGGACAGAAAGTGGGGTTTTGTTTTCATTTTTTTTTTAAGGGGGGAGGGAGTTGGGGAGGATGGAGAGGGAACAACAGTAGGATTTCAGCCTGAAAGTTACTGAGTCCATCCCCTGCACAGAGTGGGAAGCAGAGAGGATTTAAGCAGTGTAGTGTAGGAGGTAAGAAATTTTGGTGGCTTTACACAATTTCCTGGGTCAGATCTTTGTGGCATAGCTTCATTATTTGATTTGAAATAGTATAACATATACCCATATTTGAATGTGACGGTAAAAATACATCTTAGAGCCAAATAGAAATTACTTTTCGTTATTTGTAATTTTGTTCCCATCTATTATGTGGTTAGGAGTTGGATGTTATTGATATAAAACATGCATGTAGTTGGATGTTATTGATATAAAAACATTATATTTCAAAATGTTGATTTGCTTTTGCCAAAAAGTGGGGAAATTAGTCTTAATTGGAGAGTGAAATTTGATATTTTTATGTAATGTGATATTTTGAGTTAATTTTAATGAAAATATATTGTAACTTTTCAAATTTAAAAATTACTGTGACATTACTCTGAACAATCACCTTAGTTAATTTATTCAGGAGGTAATTTAAAAACTAAAATAATAACTTCAATGATAACTTGTTTTCTTCATTATTTTTTAAATAATTAGAAATTCTCAATTCATACTTTAACTGATCATTAATATAGTTTTAGTTGATATTGTCTAATGTAATTATATACCATTTATCAGTGTTTTCATTTTAATGCATGGTTTCTTTTGATTTCATTACAATGATCCAGATATAATATAGAAATAGCTTGATTAGAAAATAGTGAAATAGTCCTTAGGATTTATACCCTGTATAGATCCTTGAAGGACCATTTCAGTTTTTGGATTGTTCAAGGTACTTGCTCTCAGCAGCTGCTCTCTGTTATTAATCTATTTTTAGTTGTTTTATTTTTCTACTGCTTAATCTGTAGTAGACTAGCAAGGCTTTATCTTTTATCCTCTCTTCTAGTTCTATATTGCCACTGTGTATTTCCATGTGCCTATACTCCTGTTTCAAGTTTGACATCTAGAGCTCAGATCATTTATTCATTTACTAGTTTTGTTCTGTTGTCTTCATTACATTATTACTTACCCCCAAAGTTAATTTAGTTTGTTATTCTAACCCTCCTTGTCAGGTGCTCTGCTTTTCTTTCTCACTTTTTTCTCCCCACATCTTATATTCCATTACCTTCCACCTCCTGCCAGTTCTTTTCCCAACATTCTCAGTTCAGAAGTGAAGAACATATGGTAGCAGTTAATTCAGTAGAGGTATATTAGAAGTGGCTAATTATTATGTAAAGAGTAATTAAGACTATTTTTAGGAACTATTTTTGGGCCAATTAAAGTCTTGGCAACAAAATACAATAATGACAAATTGAGAAGTTGCCTCAAGCTGATCTATGTATTCCATAAAAATAATTTGAGGACAGGGTAGGTTTAATCCCTGTCCTCACTGAATGTATCTTGGATTCTTTATCTTTTCTGCCACATTCTAGTTCTGTCTTTAACTCAGGTTTGAAATGTTGGAATATCCTCTTAGTTCATTTTTCTTTGTTTTTTTAACTTCTTTGAATTAACTGTGTACCATCAAAGTACCTCTAGTTTTGCCTGTTCCCAGGTAGAGGAAATATATACACATCCTGATATTCCTGTATAATCTGAATGAAAATCCTCCTTTATATAGATTAACTACATTCTGGCTGTTGCTTCTCATATCTATGTACTTGAGAAAATGTGGCTGTAATGGCGTCTTTTCTTTCTAATCTCCCAAATGAGGTTTTATTCAAGTCCATTATTCTCTAGGGTGCTTTTCCTATAAACTTGAAGTAATGTGGACATCTTCACTTTGTGACTTTTGATAATATTTGTAATGTATACCTTTCACATTTTTAAGTGATACTTGCTTTAGAAATATATATATATACGCACACACATATATAATATCCTATACTTGTCCTTTTGTCTTTGCATCTCAAAGTTTTATTCCCCTAAGAACATATTTCTATGAATTTGTCACAGCACTTTTTAATACTAAACTCAAAGTGGGCGCTTACTAAGCGATAGTTAAATAGAATATCAAATCTTAAGTTAGGATGATTCTATTAATATTTTATATGTTCTGCTTTTTTTCTTTAAGTGTTTGGCAACATATTGACTGCATGGGGATTGACAGGCAGCATATTCCTGATACATATTTATGTGAACGTTGCCAGCCTAGGTAAGTTGTGCATGCTTATAAGATTGCCAGTAAATTTGCTGAAGTAATCTTCAGTTAATAGAGGTTTATATGTGAATTCTGGATTAAACAATTAGTGGATTGCTGTGTTTCATCAGTTCTAAGATACAATTTTCATTTTTCTATTTATTTTTTTGGGGGGACTCTGATAGCTCTAAAATCAGGAAGAATCTTTCCATTGATAATATGTTATGGTTTACTTTGTAAGGTATTTTTACTTTATTAATAATGCATAAATTAATAGTGCATCCTCTAAGTGATGGCATATTTTTTCGCTGGAGCGTACTATGTTAAAGAGTTACTAGAAGGACATTTCCTTAAAGAATTTTGTAGGTCTGTACTATCATTCCACCACCCTACGTCAACAATTTTCAACAATCTTTTTTCATTTATACTGTCATATATTTCTTCTCCCTTTCACATATTTTAATGGAAATCCCAGATATATTATTTCATTCATATGTATCCCTATGTATTTCAGTATATATGTATCTATATGTATTTCATTATATATCTGTAAAATAATTTTTTAAAAAAACCAACCCCAAAGCCATTATTGTACATGCAACAAAATGTATTATCACCCAGCCACTGTTAAAATATTGATTGGTTGATACATCGGTTTGTTAAAACTCTAGTTACAGAGTCTTACTCTTCCATTACACCACCAACTCTGGTCTACTTTGCAGTGTGTTTAAGGAACTGAATTGTTTGATTTGTTTGCTAATTGCATTATTATGATACAACTGGTTTCTATATCCTTTGTATTTCTGTGAATAAGTATGTGATCAGATTATAGGTTTGATTTTTTTTTTTGAGGGGGTAGTTAAGAATATTTCATAGACTGCCCTATCGGGTGACACTTAATATCTGGTTGTCTCTATGATAGGACACACTGATAGTCCTTATTTAGATACATTAATTTATTAGGGGTTGCAAGTTAGTGCCATGTTTAACTTATTGCTTATAACTTATTACCTGGAATATTTCTATAGAAACAAAATCTTAACTGTTCTTTTTTTTTTTTTTAAGATTTTATTTATTTATTCATGAGAGACACACACAGAGAGAGAGAGAGAGAGAGGCAGACACAAAGACAGAGAAGCAGGCTTCACACAGGGAGCCCGATGTGGGACTTGATCCCAGGACCCCAGGATCACACTCTGGGCCAAAGGCAGGCGCTCAACCACTGAGCCACCCAGGCGTCCCAACCATTTAGTTCTTGTAAAAAATACAGTTGACCCTTGAACAATATGATTAAGATCTGTGCGAGTCCACTTAAATGTGGATTTTTTTTTTAAACGTGGATTTTTTTTTTTCAATATAGTACTGTGAATGTATTTTGATGACTTTCTTAATTACATTTTCTTTTCTCTGGGTCACTTTACTGTAAGAATAGAGAATATACTACATATATTAAATATGTGTTAACTGTTATCAGTAGGCTTACAGTCAATAGTAGGCTGTTAGTAATTTAAGTTTTTTGGAGAGTTAAAAGTTATATGTAGGCTTTTGACTGCAGAGGGGGTTGGTGCCCCTAACTCTTCATGTTGTTCAAGGGTCAACTGTATTTCATTGAGGAAAGGCAGGATAAATGCTTGTTGATTCTTACCCTTTATTTACTAGTGTTCAGAATACTGAAAAGAAATTTAGGTATTATGAACTCAGGGATTTAAACATCTTGGATATCAGTCTGTTGCAGTAATTATCTTTATTGATACTCAGTTTTGGTCAGTGGAAACCTCATCAAGTTGGCTCTTGAGCCCTTTTGACAGTATCCTAGTGGTACTAGCTAGGTTTTGTGATTTCTGGTATAACAAAGTATCTCGAGCTTAATTTATACTTCTGTGCCTCTAATTGAGAATTGGTTTTCAGAACTAGAATCTGAGAGCTAGTCATGCTTTTTCCTACTGGATTGGTCAGTGTTCCTAGGTCTTTGTCTTTCTAGACAAAACTAGGAAATATGTTCTATGTGTTTATTTTAAACATGTGAGTTTATACAGATAATTGCAATTTAAATTTGGAAATCTAAGGTTTTCATTTAACCATTTTTTAAAAAGATTTATTTATTTTTTCATGAGAGACACAGAGGGAGAAGTAGGCTCCCTGCAGGGAGCTCAATGTGGGACTCAATCCCAGGGACTCCGGGATCACACTGGATGCAAGGCAGATGCTCAACTGCTGAGCCACCCTGGGGTCCCTCATTTAACCATTTCTATATTCCATTTATATCAACTAATTGCCAACAACACAGACAATAATGTAATTAGAATATCACCAACTACTCTGCTTCCTTTCATAGGAAAATATAACAAGTCTCAGAGTAACAATACTAACACTAGCACCAACAATATGATTATGTAAAACAGTATGTATGTATGTATGTATGTATTTAAAAAGTAAACTTTGCGCCCAACTTGGGGCTTAAATTCACAACTCTGAGATCAAGAGTTGCATGCTCTACCATTTGAGCCAGCCATATGCCACTTTGTAAAAGAATTTAGAATTTTTTTTACCCTTAAGATATGTTCCACAAGGAATATATGGTTGTGTTTAAAGTCCCTTAAAAAAAATAAAAAATAAAGTCCCTTAAAAGGGGACACCTGGATTGCTCAGTGGTTAAGCATCTGCCTTTGGCTCAGGTTGTGATTCCTGGGTCCTGGGATTGAGTCCCACATCAGGTTCCCTGCAGGGGAGGGAGTCTGCTTCTCCCTTCGCCTATGTCTCTGCCTCTCTCTGTCTCTCATGAATAATTAAATAAAATATTTAAGACAAATAAATAAGTCCCTTCAATGGATTTCACTGTGTGATTATAACAGCAGCTGGATACATACTATGTTGATGAGGTTATTTTATTTTTTATAATAAAACATTTTGAGTTAATTATAGGTTCACATACAGTTAGGAAATAATACAGAGATTCTGTATATCCTTTACTCAGTTCCCCCCAGTGGTAACATGTTCCAAGACTATTTATACAATATCACAACTAGGATATTGACATTGATACAGTCAAGATACAAAATATTTCCATTGCAAGGATACCTAATGTTACTTTTTACAGCCACACCACCTCTCACCCCTCACAACTCTCCCATCCTTACCTTTGGCAACTCCATTGCTGTAATCTGTAGCCCGTGGCTATAGTTTTATCATTTCAAGAATGTTATTATATAAATGGAATCATACAGTATGTGACCTTTGGGATTGGCTTCTTTTTTTCCTCTGGAGAGCCAGCCAATTTGTTGTATATACCAGTATTTCATTCTTTCCAGTTGCTGAGTTGTGTTCTGTGATATATATGTACCGTAATTTGTTTAATCATTCACTCATTGAAGGACATTTGGGTCTTTTCCACTTTTTGGCTATTGCAGAAAAAGTTGCTATGAACATTTGTGTACAGGTTTTGGTGTGAATAAGTTTATTTCTTCTGGGATAAATGCCTGAGGGTGCAATTGCTCAGTCTCATGGTGATGGCATGTTTAGTTTTATAAGAAATTGTCCAACTATTTTGCAGACCAGTTGCCCATTTTATATTCCTACCAGAAATATGAGTAACTAGTTTTTATTTTTAGGATTTTTATACTTTATTTTCATAATTATATACTTAAATGATTATATCTTTCCACCCCTGAAATAAAATTAAAAAGGGATTATTCTTTCCATTGTTTATCTCCTTATTAGAAACAAATATGTACATACGTATTTGTATACCTTTCCTTACTTAGGTGATAGTATATTACAGTTTTTGCCACATATCCTTTTTTCTCTTAAAAATATGTGCTGGAGGGACACCTGGGTGGCTCAGCAGTTGAGCGTCTGCCTTGCACTTAGGGTGTGATCCCAGAGTTTGAGGGATTGAGTCCCACATTGGGCTCCCTGCATAGGGCCTGCTTCTCCTTCTGCCTATGTCTCTGCCTCTCTCTGTGTGTGTGTGTCTCTCATGAATGAATAAATAAGTCCTTAAATATATATATATATATTTGTGTATATGTATATATATATATGCTGAAGATCACTTTATAGTAGTATGTAGAGATTGACTCATTTCTATCTCTTCAATATGTTCCATCTTTTTCATGTAATAGTTTATTCAGCCTGTGCCCTTTCATGGACAGTGAGTTGTTTCAGTCTTTTTAAATTGAAGATTGAAGTGGGATTGTTCAGTAAAAGGGTAAATATTAATGTATAGGTAAAATTTTGTCAGGTATTGCCAGATTCCCCTGAAATAGGAGCTGTACACTTTGAATTCTTACCAATAGTGGATAAGCATGCCTATTTTCCCAAGGCTTTTAAGAGTGTATGACAGACTTGTAATTTTGCCAGTTTATTGCAAAATTATAATCTCAGTATTATACTTTTCACTTCTTTATTATGAGTGAGGTTTTACTATGTGATCTTGTTTCACCTTATGACAGTTAACTAACCTTTTGCCCAGATATTTTTTTTAAAGAATTTTTAAATTTAATTTTATTTATTTATTCATGAGAGAGAGAGAGAGGCAGAGGGAGAAGAAGGCTCATACAGGGAGCCTGATGTGTGTCTCTCGATCCCGGGACTCCAGGATCACACCCTGGGAGGCACTAAACCGCTGAGCCACTAGGCGTCTCTTGCCTAGATAGTTTTTGATGGTGTAAATGTCTGTTAATGAATTCAGTAAGAGCTGTTTTAAAACTGATCGTTAGGGAAGGTAGTTTGTTGAGTGATACCTCTTTATTATTTTGTGATAAATAGGGTGGTTATCAGTAATGCTAGGATATTTATATATCCTAGTAGACGTTAAGGCACGCCTATTACTGAATTGTAGACCTTTCAATCTAGAAATCTAGAGCTCTATTCTCTCATCTAAGAATAATAGCTAATCTTATTTGACCTCTAGACTGATAAGTTTTGATAGTAAAAATGTTGACAGGAAAAATAAAACAATTACTATGGATGATGTAGTTCACAAGTGGACAGTTCATGAAATATTTTACTTTTTTTTTTTAAGATTTTATTTATTTATTCATGAGAGACACAGAGAGCGAGGCAGAGACACAGGCAGAGGGAGAAGCAGGCCCCATGCAGGGAGCCCGATGTGGGACTCAATCCTGGGTCCCCAGGATCACATCCTGGACCAAAGGTGGCGCTAAACCGCTGAGCCACCTGGGCTGCCCAAATATTTTACTTTTTAAAAAAGTTTTTATTTGGGACGCCTCGGTGGCTCAGGGGTTGAGAGTCTGCCTTCAGCCCAGGGTGTGATCCTGGAGACCCAGGATTGAGTCCCACGTCATGCTTCCTGCATGGGGTCTGCTTCTTCCTCTGCCTGTGTCTCTGCCTCTCTTTCTCTCTCCTCTCTGTGTTTCTCATGAATAAATAAATAAAATATTTTTTTAAAAAAAGGAAATCTTATATAGAGTCACTTAACTGGCATCTGCTAATTGTGCTAGATCAGATCTGAGGCAATGGAGAATACGTATGTTTTATACTGTTTGTTTTTCGATAAGAACATTAGAGAAATTGGGACACCTGGGTGGCTCTGTGATTCAGCGTCTGCCTTCTGCTCAGGATGTGATCCTGGAGTCCTGGGATCGAGTCTCACATCTGGCTCCCTGCATGGAGCCTGCTTCTCCTTCTACCTGTATCTCTGCCTTTTTCTCTGTGTCTCTCATGAATAAATAAATAAAATCTTTTTTTTTTTTTAAAAAGAACATTAGAGAAATGGTAAAGTTTATTACATTTAAAGCTGATCAGTTTTATATCTAAATATATGAAAATTTAATAAATAATCATGTTAATATTTTAATGTAGGAGTTTGGATAAAGAGAGGGCAGTGCTACTACAACGCCGGAAAAGGGAAAATATGTCAGGTAGGTGAAAAGGATTTATACTGAATTAAGAATAGTGTAATTGAGAGAATGAGTGGCCTGCGTATTTTAGTTGGATATAAACACCTTACCAGTGAATGTTGATTGTACACATTATTTACAATTTCAGGTAGAGGTTTTAATTAGTCTTTTTTACAGATTATAGAATAAGAATGTACTTATTTCAGAAAATGTGGAAAGTAGAGGAAAATAAAAATTATAAATCATCTATATTTTTCTACAAAGATAAATTGGTTTAAAGAAGTATTAAAATATGTTTGCTTTTCCGGAAGATGGTGACCCATTAGTTTATTATATGGAAATAGTATTTCATTTTTAGGAATAGATTTTAGAAGTACAACTGTGAGACAACTTTCATTTTGGCTTAAAGGAGTACCAATACAAATGATTTTGAATAATTGTAGTTTATTGAACTCTTCCTGTTTGATGGACATTTAGATCGTTTTCAATATTTTTTGTTATTATTACAAATGGTACCTTCAGTGAAACCCTCATGGATAATTTTTTTTTTGGATTTTTGTTCATCTTTGGATATATACCTGGAAATAGGATTACTGGGTGAAAAGGTAAGTGTAGAACTTTGCTAGATATGGCTAAATTTCCATTCATAGGGAATTTTGAATTTCCACTGGTAATTTATGCAAGTGCCTGTTTCCCACAGTCACGTCACCTCAGTGTATTGTCAAGATTTTTGTATCTTTTCTAGTTTAATGTATAAGAAATGGTACTTGTAGTTTACATTTAAATGTATCTTACTTTAAAAAAAATAATAAATGCATCTTCGTGTGAGGTGAGGAAAAGTTTATTCTTCAAACAGATAGAAATACAGTAGTTTGTCATGTAGAATGCTGTCTTGTTTTTTTGTTTTGTTCAAAATAGTATTACAAGTACAGTAATTTTTATTTTGCCTTGGAAGATGGTGATACCAGTGCAACTGAGAGTGGTGACGAGGTTCCTGTGGAATTATATACTGCATTTCAGCACACCCCAACATCGATTACTTTAACTGCTTCAAGAGTTTCCAAGGTTAATGATAAAAGAAGGAAAAAAAGTGGGGAAAAAGAACAAAACATTTCAAAATGTAAAAAAGTAAGTTTTTCCTTCTTTAAGATGAGTTAGATGAGAAGTGTTGGGACCTGAGTTTTATAGGAAAGGCAGGTGAGTAATGGATGGTAGCTAGAAAAGGCCGAATCTAAGCTTTTTAAAACTAATTTTAAAATTTTAATATAGGGATCCCTGGGTGGCGCAGCGGTTTGGCGCCTGCCTTTGGCCCAGGGCGCGATCCTGGGGACCCGGGATCGAATCCCACGTCGGGCTTCCGGTGCATGGAGCCTGCTTCTCCCTCTGCCTGTGTCTCTGCCTCTCTCTCTCTCTCTGTGACTATCATAAATAAAAAAAAAAAAAAATAATAAAATAAAATTTTAATATATTTTAAAGATTGAAGTGTCATAGAGAAGAATGTTTGCATAATGATTTGAAATCATCACTAATGAAATTAGTCATAGAAATACAAAAACTGAAAAAAAAGAAAATTGCTGTTTTAGAAAACAAATAAAGTCCTAAATTTTTAAAACTTATGCAATTCTAAAAACTTTCTATATTTGTTGAATTTATCATGTAGATTTTAAAAATTTTATGTGATAAATTATCCCAAGGATATAATGGCACAAAACCTTTTCTAAGGCAGTTTTTCATTAAATTTGTTATAATTGCTACTGAAGATTTTTGTCTCCCAAGGTAAAAAAGTACTTTTCATGATGACTATATTGTTATTATAGAGTGAAACTATCTCTAGATATATAATCAAGGTTTTTTTCAAAGAAAGCATTTTTCTTTGAGTAATTGTTCACGATATTCTCTCATTGCTTATATATTTTTAGGATTTTATTTATTTATTTGACAGAGTGAGCACAAGCAGGGGGAAGGGCAGAGATGGAGAAGCAGACTCCCCACTGAACAGGGAGCTCAACTCAGGGCTTGATCACAGGACCCTGATATCATGACCTAAGCTGATGACAGACAAAACCAATGAGCCACCCAGGCGCTCTGTCTGCATTCTATTTTTAATTAATAGAATAATATTCTAGTAGATGACTTTAGTGAACTGATTGATTCTTAAATATTACATCCAGTTTTAAAAAAGAACTAACTCAGAATTCCATGTTCTTTCAGGCCTTTCGTGAAGGATCTAGGAAGTCATCAAGAGTTAAGGTAAATACATTAAATTTAAGTCCTTAAAAAAAAAATAAATTTAAGTCCTTAGTACTGTCAGTTTCAGTTTTTTAGGAGCTTACTAAGTGCGTGCTTGTCCATAATCTTTGTTTTCATCATTGTGTATCATTTCATTATTATCTTTATCAGAAGTGGCATCCTTGAGAATCTTAATTTGATTAATATGCTATCTTAAGAGTTTAAATTAACTCTATTAAAAAAGCAAAAGGAAGTGGTATATCAGTATCACTGAGAATTTGAAAATTTGTGTTTTTTTTTTTTTTTTTGCACAGTTGGGATTCTAGTGATTTAGTCAAGTCAGTTATAGAATACTATAAAATCACCATAGAAGTACAAAGTAATCATTTGTACCTTGAATTAATTAGAATATATCCTCAATTTTGTAGATGCCCAGGTTGCTGAGAGAGGCAAGGCTTGTCAGCTCTGCCTCCCCCTAAAAGATAGGTGTTGGATCACAGAGGTCAGCTATATAGTGTTTTTGTACCTTCTTAGGTTATGTGGTTAAAGGATAATGGGTTTCTCAAGTTGTCAGATAGTAAAATTGGATGTGAAGAGCCTGTTACAGTATATCTGTTATGCCAGTAGTGTAAAGCATGATCATTATTCATTATTCCATATTTCCTGGAAAACAAATCATTAAACAGCTATCCAGTGATGATTATTACATGTTTTTGTAGTTCTTTCTCAAGAAAGTTAATACATGGTGTCACTGCAAACCCAAAGTTTCATAAAATGTTCCTTATGTGTTAAAATTGGGGTTTTATATTAAAGTTGTGTTTATTAAAGTTGTGTTTATGGGATATTCTCTGACATACTGTACGGTCTGCAAAAGTTTTTGGATTTAGCTAGTGGAAACTTAATAATTCACTGGTTTCCCTTCCTTTCTAATATATCCAGTCATCCCTTTAGCAGGTTTATTGAAGAAGGGGCATCTTTTACTTAAGTGAAATATTTTCATTTATTATATAAAGAAATGACTAAGGAAATAGAACTTTAAAAATGCTTTGTATGTCTTTGAGGATATTTTTCCTTAACTCAAAGATACCTCTTTAAGATCATAACAATTCTAGTTAGTAATTCTGTAGTATTTATAGGTTCAAGAGATATAGAAGAATTTACTGTATCAAATGTATACCAGGTCAGTAGAAGGCTTGGGTGAGGGGAGGGTAAAACAGAAAGAAAAAAAATTAAATTTATATATTTCTTTAATAAAGCTGAGGAAAGCCTTAATATGTAATATTTCATATTTGTATAAAAATCTATTATAGGGTGGTTATTATAACATGGCATATTTAAGTATATAAAGTATCAATTGGTAAAAATAAAGCTACTCCTATCAAGTAGTTGAACAACTTACTATAGTTTGTTTCATTTTAGAAAAGTGATACCTTGTATAATAAAAGTTCATTATTTATGGAATGTGGACAAATGATAAATTTTAGTGTTACTGTACATGCCTAACAGAATATATAAGGATCTTTACAAATTCTACATGATTTTTAAATTTTAGTTAGGTTGTACATATTATAGAAATCTGTTTTATCATCAAGGTGTTCACTGTTATAGAAAGAAACTGACAAATAGTGTTTATAAGAAAGTGAAATGTCATGTAAAACCAATTATAAATTTGAATTATGCTAATGAAACATATATGTTTTTGTTATCTGCATTGGTTGATTTTCATCCTGAGATTGCAGTTAAGAATTGTCGTGGAAGGGGACGCCTGGGTGGCTCAGTGGTTGAGCGTCTGACTTCGGCCCAGGGTGTGATCCTGGAGTCCTGGGATCGAGTCCCACATCGGGCTCCCTACATGGAGCCTGCTTCTCCCTCTGCCTGTCTCTGCCTCTCTCTGTGTGTCTCTCATGAATAAATAAATAAAATCTTAAAAAAAAAATAAAAAAAAAACAATTGTCGTGGAAGTCCACATTTTAATACGTTTTTAAAATGTATAGTAATTGTGCCTATTTATAAATTGCATTCCAGCAAGAAAATTGTTCCTTTTTGTTCTTTTTTCTTTTGAACATTATTTCAAGATTTTTTATTTTTAATATTTTGTTTTTTAAAGATCTTATTTATTCATGAGAGACACGCAGAGAGAGAGAGAGAGAGAGAGAGAGAGGCAAAGACATAGGCAGAGGGAGAAGCAGGCTCCATGTAGGGAGCCCAATGTGGGACTCGATCCTGGGACTCCAGGATCACACCCTGGGCCGAAGTCAGATGCTCAACCACTGAGCCACCCAGGCGTCCCAAGATTTTTTAAGTAATCTCTACACCTAGTGTGGGGCTCACACTCACCACCCCAAGATCAAGAGTCACATGCTCTTCCAACTGAACCTTCTTTTTGCTGTGTAACAGACTATTTTTTTTTTAAAGATTTTTATTTATTTATTCATGAGAGACACAGAGAGAGAGAGGCCGAGACACAGGCAGAGGGAGAAGCAGGCTCCACGCAGGGAGCCCGATGGTGGGACTCCATCCCCGGACTCCAGGATCACGCCCTGGGTCAAAGGCGGAGCTTAACTGCTGAGCCACCCAGGCCTCCTGCTCTGTAACAGATTAAAAGAGGCTATAACTTCTTGTACTTGGCACTTAGCATTTTTGTTTTTATATATAATATATATAACTGCTGAGCAGGGAGCCTGATGTAGAACTTGATCCCAGGACCTTGGGATCATGACCGGAGCTGAAGGCAGCTGCTTAAAGACTTGAGCCACCTGGGTGCCCCTTCACTGTCTTTTTTTTAATCATTTGCTTAGCTGGCAATGACTCCAAAATTTTGAGTATTTGCAGTTTTATTAATGACCTCCATTGGGCTAACGTGGCGTCAGTGAAGCCTGAATTTTTGCTAGTCCAACATAACTTGGCCTCCTTTAGTTTTCTAAGTCCTTATTTGCCTGGCATGCAGTATCAAGATGTAGTAAGCTGATCATTTATGGTTTTTCCCTAGGACCAACTTAGAAAGCCTACCATTATCTCTTCTTTATATTATGTTCTTTTATATAGATTATCATTTATTTGTGTATCTGTGTGTATATATAAATACTTAGAAGTCCAGATATTAATACTTATTTGCTATGATTTTAGGGTTCAGCTCCAGAGATTGATCCTTCATCTGATGGTTCAAATTTTGGATGGGAGACAAAAATCAAAGCATGGATGGATCGATATGAAGAGGCAAATAGCAACCAATATAGTGAGGGTGTTCAGAGGGAGGCACAAAGAATAGCTCTGAGATTAGGCAATGGAAATGACAAAAAAGAGATCAATAAATCAGATTTGAATACCAACAATTTGCTCTTCAAGCCTCCTGTGGAGGTAAATATATCATTTGCCAAAAACTTTTTTTTTTGCCAAAATCTTTAACAAAAGCTATCTTATAATGTATATCTTGAGTAATAAGACTGAAAGCAATCAGATTTAATTACTCTCAACATTTCTCTGGTTTTAGAGCCATATACAAAAAAATAAGAAAATTCTGAAATCTGCAAAAGATTTGCCTCCTGATGCACTTATCATTGAGTACAGAGGGAAGTTTATGCTAAGAGAACAGTTTGAAGCAAATGGATATTTCTTTAAGAGGTATACTCACTTATTTTACCACTTATCTATAGTTAAGAATTGATTTTTTGCCTATTTCATCAAGATGCTGTATTTGTTTATATTTTGCTTTCCTAAGTGATTATTCTAATATATTTAAAATTGTAGTGTGATCTAACAGTGACTAATGCCAACTTTTGAACTATAATAAAATATAACAAAAAAGCAGATATATTCCTCAATCTCACTCATATCTCGCTGACACTCCTATAAACAGTATACTTCAAAAATAAACAGCAGTATAAATGGATGTTAATTAAAAACTTACTCCCTGAGATTATAAGGAACCCTTTTGCATCCAAGACCTTTCTTAAGTCCTTATAACATAATTGCTAGAACCTAAAAAGATCATTGGCGATCACAGGCAAAACACCTTCTTTATTAGAGGATGTTTGATTTGGTCTTACATTATTGCCACCACTTTGAACTCTCACTTTCTTTCTTGGTACTGAAATGTCTCTGGAGCCCTCTTCTATGCTATGTGATTTTGGGAGGGGATTTGATGTTTTGACTCATTGCTTTCGTGAGATCTAGAAGAATGTTAGTGTCTCTAGGGAGATACTATTCTCAGTCTATATGATAATTAAACTATTGTTTATAACTTGAGTTTTTAAGATTTGAAAGATATACAAGAATAATTCTCTTGGATATAGCAAATTTTATCTGAAACAGTGCTATAAATCAAACATTTAAGTGCACTGTGAGATAAAGATTTTCAAGGTGTCCAGTTATGAATCCTTCTGTAAAGGCAGTAGTCACTCCCTTTTTATTTTTCCTTTTGAATTTGAATTTCTACCTTCAGCTAACTGCCTTTGATTTGGGTAAGATTATTGGAGCAGGTAAAAATCTAATTAGCATGAACAAATGGGTTCTGGTATCAGATTGCCTATATTCAGATCTTGGCTTTACTATTTATTTACTTTGAATCTTTTAGAAGTTCATTAATATGTTAATAATTTGTAATGCATTTCTTTCTTTGTAGACCATATCCTTTTGTTTTATTTTATTCTAAATTTCATGGGCTAGAAATGTGTGTTGATGCAAGGACTTTTGGGAATGAGGCTCGGTTCATCAGGCGTTCTTGTACACCCAACGCAGAGGTAAGCTTATAGAAATCGTTTTGGAAGGCAGGGGTTTAGGGGATTTGAAGAACCGAGCATTAAACACAATCTGGTAGCTTAAGACACTTTTTAAGTATTGCAGCATTTTATATTGTCCAGTGTGTTTCCATTGTGAAAAGTTAGGTAATATTGGGCTATGAGAGCTTAAAAGTGACTTTGCACATTGAATAAATGTTCTTTGTAAGAAGAAATATTGGACTTCTGTTTATTTCAGAAGCTCTATTTATGGGTCAAATATAGGATCTGATTAGATCAAGATAGAGGACAAAACTGAAAGCTAAAGTAGATTTTATATGTGTTAGTCTAAAATTTTTTAATAAAACTGTGTTTTAATTTGGAGCCCTAAGTAGTATTTCTGGTTTTGTTTTTCTACATGCCATACTATACATTTTTTTAAAATTTTTATTTATTTATGATAGTCACAGAGAGAGAGAGGAGAGAGAGAGGGGCAGAGACACAGGCAGAGGGAGAAGCAGGCCCCATGCACCGGGAGCCCGACGTGGGATTCGATCTGGGGTCTCCAGGATCACGCCCCGGGCCAAAGGCAGGCGCCAAACCACTGCGCCACCCAGGGATCCCGAAACTATACATTTTTAATTTATAGCTATGTTACACTTAAGAGCATAGGTTTTGAAACCAGACTTATTAGATTCATGTCTTCTCTTTGACTTACTAGCTTTGTAAACTTGTCTATGCTTGTTTTATGTGTAAAAAGTTGTTAAGAGGACTAAAGGAGTTAATACATTGGAAGTACCTAGAATAATGTCTGTCATAAAAAAGTTTGGTGTTAACTGTATCATCACTCATTACTGCATGTCATCAGATTGAAGATACCATTATTTATAAAACTCCCAATGTCAGGGATACTCAGAAGTGAAAAAATATGCATTGTAGAGTCAATGAAGTGTAGTATGTGCTTTTTTTATTTTAAGATTTTTTTATTTTAAGATTTTATTTATTCATTCATGAGAGACACAGAGAGAGGGGCAGAGACATAGGCAGAGGGAGAAGCAGGCTCCACGTAGGAAGCCTGATGTGGGACTCAATCCCAGGACTCCCAGGATCATGCCCTGACTAAAGGCAGATGCCTAACTACTGAGCCACCCAGACATTCCGTAGTATGTGGTTTTTAATGCTACATGGTAGTCTGTAGAGTTTGCATCTCTGTATTTATGTTTCCAGTTTATAACCAGCAATTAATTAATTTTAAAAAGATTTTATTTATTCATGAGAGACAGAGAGAGGCAGAGACCTAGGCAGAGGGAGAAGCAGGCTCCTGGCGGGGGGCCTGATGTGAGACTCCGATCCCAGGATCATGACCCAAGCCAAAGGCAGATGCTCAACTGCTGAGCCACTCAGGCATCCCAGTAACAATCAATTTCTAGATAGTTTTGTGATTACAGATTTTCCACAGTGTACTCATGAATTCCTTTAAAAAGTTTTCAAAATTGCAGGATGAGGAGCTACTAAAGATAGAAATTTTATAAAAATATAAAATTTTCTTTTGACTAACAGGTGAGGCATGAAATTGAAGATGGAACTATTCATCTTTACATTTATTCTATACAGAGTATTCCAAAGGGAACTGAAATAACTATTGCCTTTGATTTTGACTATGGGAATTGGTAAGTTCAAGTCTCTAACTATGTTTGTTATCTGTTTTGAAATAGTTTTTTTTTTATTTTTAAAGATTTTATTTATTCATGAGAGACACAGAGCAAGAGAGGTAGAGACACAGGGAGAGAGAGAAGCAGGCTCCATGCAGGGAGCCTGCCTTGGGACTCGATCCTGGGACTCCAGGATCATGCCCTAGGCCGAAGGCAGGCGCTAAACCCACTGAGCCACTCAGGGATCCCTTGAAATAGCTAAAACTCTAGGTATTTTCATAAGCTTTTTTATTTGTATTTATTATAAGGCAATTAAATGTACTTGAAAACAAGCATTTTGGTGTCAACTTTCCACTAAGCATGATTATTAGTTCTTTTCCAAACTTTTTAAGATTTTATTTATTCATGAGAGAACGGGGAGAGAGACAGAGAGAGAGGCAGAGACACAGGCAGAGGGAGAAGCAGGCTCCATGCAGGGAGACCCATGTGAGACTGGATCCCGGGTCTCCAGGATCATGCCCTGGAGGCACTAGGCGGCCTAAGCCGCTGAGCCACCCGGGCTGCCCTCTTTTCCAAACTTTAAGTGTGATAAATGCTCATAGTAATTCAAATCAATAGTCCTAATTCTACCATACAACACTGATCTTGTTTGCATGAGGATTTTTTCTTCTATTTTAGGGGGTACAGTTTTAGTCCTATATTTAATTTGGCTGATCAATGTGAATGGGTAATTTCACTATTGCCCCTCAAAACAAAAGAAATTGTGCAAATTTTCTTTGCAGAGAAATCAAAAAAGTTTGTTGGAGTCCTGTACGGAAATTCTGAGAATTGTTGTTCTGAAACACTAGGGAAATAAAGTCAATTCTGAGTATAAAAACTTCAACTTAAATTCTATGTAAATTATATTCTGTAGTATTTTGCCTTCATCTTTTCTCATTCATTACTTTTGAGATTCAGTTCTGTTGTTCTGTCTAGCTCTTGTTCATTTATTTTCACTGGTGATAGCATTTATCCATTCCTCTGTTGGTGATCCTTTAGATTTACCAAAAGTGTTCCTATGATTTTTTGAACATATCTTTGTGGGCACATGTTCTCTCCATGGGAGGGAATCTAGGGGGTGTACTTCCTCAATTGTAGAGCTTACGGCAGTCTCAGTGTTTACCAGACATGGGTTAATGACCAGTTTCTCGTCTCACACCTTTCTTCCTAGCTTCACTTCCTTACGGCTTTTAAATTGATGATAATCCTTGTGAAACTGTCTTTTTATATTTTTGCCATTTTTCTTGATTTTTTAAAAGATTTTATTTATTTATTAATGAGAGACAGAGACAGACACACACAGAGAGAGAGGCAGAGACACAGGCAGAGGGAGAAGCAGGCTCCACACAGGGAGCCCACGTGGGACTTGATCCCGGGTCTCCAGGATCAGGCCCTGGGCTGAAGGCGGCACTAAACTGCTGAGCCACCCAGGCTGCCCCATGGAAGTCATTTCTTAAAGTATAAGACAAAACTGGTTAAGTTTTGGGACCATGGAATGAAATAAATACCGGTTTTGTCTTAATGTAAACCAGAGTATCATTTTAGTTTTAAAAACCCCATTTTAATGTTTTTTTCCTTTTCTAAGTCGTAACTGGTTATCCTTTGACTGAAGGCCCAGTCTCTGGTCAGGATCAACTTTTAATGATTGTTTTTTATTTTAATTTTTAATTTTTTTCTAAGGATTTTATTTATTCCTGAGAGACACAGAGAGAGAGGTAGGGACATAGGGAGAGGGAGAAGCAAGCTCCCTGCAGGGAACCTGATGTGGGACTTGATCCTGGAACCCTGGGATCACCACTGAGCCAGAGGCAGACAGTTCCAACCATTGAGTCACCCAGGCATCCCTGATTATGTTTTTTAAATGAGGGAAAAAAAATTTCTTTTGGAGTAGTTACCATGGGTTTGCAAATAGTGAAAAGTAAGGACTGCTTATAAGTAGTAGTAATAGCATACAGTTTTATAAAATTAAAATGCTGCTTAAAATGTACTAGAAAATTTTACAGTGTGTGTCTTGAATAAATATTTAACTGGTTATCTTTCTAGTAAGTACAAGGTGGACTGTGCATGCCTCAAAGAAAATCCAGAGTGCCCTGTTCTAAAACGTAGTTCTGAATCCACGGAAAACATCAATAGTGGTTATGAGACCAGAAGGAAAAAAGGAAAAAAAGAAAAGGATATTTCAAAAGAAAAAGATACACAGAATCAGAATATTACTTTGGATTGTGAAGGAACAACCAACAAAATGAAGAGCCCAGAAACTAAACAGAGAAAGCTTTCTCCACTGAGACTATCCGTATCAAATAATCAGGTACTGAACTATGCTCTTTTGCTTTTCAACAGAAATCAACAAAAGAAAATAATTTGTCATATTTTAATCTCTTTATGTAAAATGGTTTAAATTTTTTTCAGTTGAATCTGTTATTTAATGAAGTACTTAGAAACATAAAACACAGGTTCTGCTAGGATTTGGGCAGTGTTAAACTTGTTAAACCATTCAGCCAGCAAATGCTTGCAGAATTCAATGCAAGATTTTTCTATAACTGGGTAATTTAAAAACTTCTTCCAGATGGTATCGTCCTTATGTTAATAATAAAATGTTCTTATTTAAAGTCTTAATTTCCTTTTTTTTTAAACATGTGGGGCATAATTCCTATAAAGATGAGAGAGAGGATTTTTCAGAGAAAATTCTCTTAGCACGTAATTTTGGGGAATGAGTTTGGCTCATTTTTCTGCCCTGCTAGAGAATGGTTTCTTATATGCCCTCTACACAAATGGAAATTAGGCAGGGCCATTTAAAATGAAAATAAAGTTTTACTCTCTCCAGTACCCCCATCTACCATAATTTAATAGTTTAATTAATTTAATGATAATTTCCCATAAGTTTTAAATTGAACAAACATTTTTTGAGCACTTGGTATCTGTAGGCCCTAGGTTTTATGAAGTGATTTTATATGTTTACTTTGCTACCATATTTGACCTGCTGGGTTCTATTGATAACATTATTGACTAGAACTTTATTTAAAAAGCAGAATTACTTAATTTTGAACATTTTATTGAATTAAAACCAGTTTTAAAGTTCTGAAGCTGATTTAAGTAGGCTCATAATTTGTCTACGGTGAATGCATTAAATGTTATAATGTAGTGTCCCTGATTTGTAGACAGAATAGTAGTTTCTATAAAGCAATCATTTCTATCTTCCAGGAACCAGATTTTATTGATGATATAGAAGAAAAAACTCCCATTAGCAATGAAGTAGAAATGGAATCAGAGGAGCAGATTGCAGAAAGGAAAAGGAAGATGGTAAGTTGGGAAGCTTCATGCTGTCTCTTGGGCTTATGACAGCTGCTCTTCCCATAGTAATTGTTGCTGCCTTTAGGAGGGTTTTTACACTGTTCTTTGTTTCAAATTACCAAACATGTGCCACTGAACATTTGTTTGGCTTTGTTATTATCATTCAGGTAACTTGCACTAGTCTTTTCTATTTTTATTGTGTGTTCATTAAACATTTTAGAATGTATGACAGTTAACATTTTTGAGGCTGAGAACTATTAATAAATTTTAATGCCAGAATTACTGTTCAAAATGTCTTTCATTAGCTAAATTGTACCTTTTCTCTTCATAATTAAATGTAAAGCAAAAATGGAATTTTAAAGCTTATAACAGCACTAAATAAATGGCTTATGTAAAAAGAAAACCCACTGGTAGCTACTATTCTGTATCTTATATTGGTATCAAAAAATAAGGTTTTCATTAAAATACATTTGGTATTTATGTTCTTTGTTCTACTTTTTATACAGATAAGATACTGCAAATAAATTATACAAGATACTTTCTTAGAAATCTATGTTAATTTAGCAGTGGATATAATTCTTAGGCCAGTTAGGTATTATGATATATTTTGCCAAAGGTTTGAAAAAGACTTTACACACCAAAATAATGATTTTAGCATGGACTCTCCCCACTCCGTTTTATTTTATATGCTTCCTTGTTTCCTATGTGTGATTTTCATATTGTATTCCAAGGAATCTCAGTGTCATATACTTAGGGTAGGGAGGGGTAGGATCTTTGGTCATTGTTTTATTGCCTGGATGGTCATTCCTCCAACATTATTTCATTGTTGATGTTCACAACTCTGAGAGCAATGCGGAACTGTTTCACAGTGTCTGGATTTCAGAGGCACAGTTCTGAGGGGACCAGGTGATATCAGAGACAAAAAACTATATAGGATTAAGTACTCAAGGAGGTTGGTTATAAAAGAGGGGAGGAGTTTTTTTCCTATGCTTAAAGGAATTACCTTGAACCCTTTTCAAGATCTGGTTACATCTAAATTATGAACCTACCCAAATTATCGGTGGCCTTCTCTTGACTAGATTTTCAGTATTCGTCCATTTGTTCCACAATTGCCAGAGCAGTGTATTTGTACTAGACTGCAAAACCATTGTAGAGTATCACTGGGTTTTGGATGAGGCATGTGTCTGGTAGGAAGAACCTCTTTCACAAGTGACTTTAAGGGCTATAATGACTACTCTAAAAAAATCATGAAATTAAAAGAGTTTAATGCCCTTACAATAATATTACTCCAATTACATTTTAAAAAATGTTTTTATGACTGTGGGGCTACTTTTAATGCTGAGAAAATCTGTGAACTTAGAACATCCTCATTTTCAGATCCCAGAAGAAAATCGAAATATCCTTTTGCTGATGAACTTTGGACAGATAAAAAGGGAATCCATTTGTATGCATTTTAGCGTATTCATTTTAATATCTGCCTCTAAGGTAGTGGCTGTGTAGCTGGGTATTTTTCATACAAAAAATGTAAACTTGAAAATTATCAGAGTTTAGAATTTGTTATTTTGAAGAGATATGAAATACTTAGCCAATTGGCATGGTCTCCCCAACCCTGCCAACATACTAGTATTTGTAAGGAACAAAATATGTTGTTTTTTAAAAAAATATATTTATTTATTCATTTATTCACACACACACACACACACACACACACACACACACAGAGGCAGAGGCAGAGGGAGAGGGAGAGGGAGAGGGAGAAGCAGGCTCCACACAAGGAGCCCGACCTGGGACTCGATCCCAGATCTCCAGGATCACATCCTGGACTGAAGGCAGTGCTAAACCGCTGAGCCACTGGGGCTGCCCAGAACAAAATATTTGGTTTTGAAAAAATTAATCCCCCTTTAGTGTCTGCCTTTTGTGTTGGTTAACATTAGTAGTTGGAAAGAAAGATTAAGGACAACTCCTGAGAAACTTATGTTAAACAGCCTGAAATTTCCTTCTGTGAGAGGACAGACTTTAAATCATTGTGGGTGTAATAGGAGATACTACTTCTCTTGTATATTTGAGATAGAGATATAGTCGTATCTTCCTTCCAGATGAATACTATGTAATGTCCAAATTCAAATATACCTCAGCCCATCCTTTTGTAGTATAGCTTAAACCATATGAAATTGTCGATTCAACAGTATGTACCTACGTACATGGCAGTTTCATACACAATCTAGTGTTTAGCATTTTACTCAGTCTCCAAAAATTGCACCAGTAGATGTATTATTTTGGTTGGTTGTTCTCTTCGGTGAGAGTGGAAGAAGACAATGTCTCTGCCCTCAGAGGCGTTTACAGAAACAATTACAGTGCACAGTCTTTTATTAACATTTTTCTTCTTCATTTTTCTCCCCTTAAAAAGTTGTTACCTACTTACAAAAGCAAACTTGTATATAATTAAATAGTTCCTGACATTTGCTTTTTAACTAGTAAATACTTCTTGGCAGTGGGTTGGAATTGACTTTGGAGAATTTTAAAATGAGTCTTCGTAAGCTATGGCAGTTGAAATACAGTGGGCTGTTTTTACTTACCTAATTCTAAAACCCAGTATACTACTGAGTGGATGCCCCCAGGTATACAATAGGGGGGTGAGGTGACCACAACCTCATCAGAGGTAGACACTGTGCAGCAGGGAGTTAGACACTGGAAGCTCACTGTATTTTGTTGAATTAACAGCTGATCTATTAAAATATAAAACTTTTATAAGATTTAAATAAAGGAGGCTTGTCCCTCCCAATTTATAATAGCATCAAAAGAACCACCTAAAGTATCTTCTGATACTATGTTTTTAAAAGAATTTTCCATGGCATTATGCGAAGATTATATGTTGGGGATATAGTCTTGGTAATATTTGATGATACACTAGTCAGATTGCTTAAATTGGAATCCAGGAAGATGGTTCAGAAGGCCTTCACACTTAAAAGAGGATAGAAATTTAAGAAACAGGGGTGCCTAGGTGGCTCAGTTGGTTGAGCATCTTCTTTCAACTCAGGTCATGATCTCAGGGTCCTGAGATTGAGCCCCACATCCAGCTCCTTGCCCAGTGGGGTGTCTGCTTCTCTCTCTGCCAGCCCCCTATTCATGCTCGCTCTCTCAAATAAGTGAAAAATAAAATCTTAAAAAATATTTAAGAAACAACAAAAAGGATATGAAAGGATGGTCACTTAGGTTATATGACATGCTTCAACTTGTCAAGCAGCTAGGAAAATCTGGTATTGTGTATATCAACTACACAGGGTGAGAATTTGTCATTTTGTTGATTGTTATAGCCCCAGCACCTGAGGAAAAAATGCCTGGCTTTTATAAAGTATGTGGTCAGTAAAAGCCTACTAAATGTTTGTGGCAGTCCTTTAAGTAGAGATCTAGGTAGGCCTCTAAGTGTGAACTAATTGAAGATTCCTTATAGGCCAGGTAGTGTCCCGGAGGCCTTCCAGGATGCAGGTTTCTCCATAACATCCATCACATCAGAAATTAGTCCATAAGATTCTGATATGTTCTGTGCAAATAGGAGCTCTGTAGCCAGTTGAGTTAGTAAACAGTGCTTCAGGGCCCAGTGTTGTTTCTCAGTATACACATAGTATGTTTAAAAATTTGAGAGTTTGTTTTATGGAACCATTTCATAAACTTAGACACCGTTGCAACTTGTTTATGGTGATACCTTTGACATCCTAGATTTTTATTTGATGGAACACTCTGTGGGAAAATTCTTTAAAGAATCCCTGCTATTCCTAATGTCTTTAGGAAGTCACCTGACTTAGAAGATTGCTTTAGAAGATGCAGAAGAAATTTTACTAGTAAGATATCATTAAATTTCTTGCCAGGAAAGTCATCTGATGACATGTGAAATATATCACTGATCACTTTTCTCTCCTTGTAACATGATTAAGTTGATGGTCAGTTACTAATTTTAATTTTCTTAGGTCCCATTTTCTCACATCACAGAGCTTAGTGTTTCTAAAGATGAGTGATGAATGACATTATGGTATTGAATAGCAAAAGGGAACCCATTTATTTTTATTGGTACTCTGTTCAAAGTGAGGATACTCTGCTTTAGCTGCCTTGTAATAAATTCCAGATTTCCAAAATCTTGTTAAAATACTTCGTTCATGCCTTCATACAATAGTGACATGTACACAATTCTTACTCATTTTGCAAATCCGTGAATATTTGCTATATGCTGAGGACAGTTGAAGGTACTGGGTGAAAAAGGCGGCAAGGTTCTGCAGAAGCTGTCATGGAGAATGGCATGCATGGAATAAGAAATACCAAAGAGAAGGCAGTACTATGAGATACACTGAACCATCATGTGGTAGAGAAGAAACGGGGTAGCCCACAAGCCATACTTATTATTTTGGAATTATTTTATTAATCAGTAATCTTTTTTTTTTTTTTTAATTTTTATTTATGATAGTCACAGAGAGAGAGAGAGAGGCAGAGACACAGGCAGAGGGAGAAGCAGGCTCCATGCACCGGGAGCCCGATGTGGGATTCGATCCCGGGTCTCCAGGATCGCGCCCTGGGCCAAAGGCAGGCGCCAAACCGCTGCGCCACCCAGGGATCCCATTAATCAGTAATCTTAAGCATTTTTTATTTTTTTTAATCTTAAGCATTTTTAAAAGATTAATAAATCAATCTCTAACTATTGTTCAAGAGGATAAGCAGAGTTATTTGAGGAGTCTCTTACTTTCTCTACTTCATGCCTGTGGGTAGGGTAAATTTGGCAAGCTGACCCTGCTCTGGTTCCCTTTCTTTTAAATAAAAGCAAGTGTTTTCTTTTAGGAACCACTTTCTACCCATTAGCAAGGTTAATAATTAATAATAATAATAATAATAAATCACAAGTCCCTAGAGGTCTTCATTTTGTTTTCTTCTCATTTCTTTCATTCTGCTGCTAAGCACATCTCTTTAAAGCTGCTGTGGTACACCTGCAGTGGCATCGACTTACTCTTCACTCAGTGAAAAATTACCAGTTATCTCTAATTGGGATGAATTTACCCAGTGGAGTTTAGTTTTTCAGTTGCAATATTATATAAAACTTTAATCTGTGTTCCTTATTATATACCCCTTGAACTATATTGGACCTTACCTTTTCTCCATTTATCGAAAGGAAGCTCAGACAAGATCTTCATAGTCTCTTGCAAGTATATCAAGTTTTATCATTTCAAGTCAGATTCATGCTCCAATGTGTTTATATATGGAAGCACAGAACTGGAATACAAATTTTAAAAATACCTATTCAGGTGATAAAATCTTCAAAAGGGATATTAAGCAGACTTTCTTCTGCTTGCAGGAACGACAGAACTCTGTATTTGCTCTATAAGATCATAAATAAGATATATGTCATGAAAGCAATCTGTTGATTGATTTCATCAGGGATCCTTCGTAGTTGAGTTTAACACCCAGTACTCCAGCATCAACAGTAGGTCAAAAGCCACTGTAATATTCCTGAAAGGAAAATCTAATTCTTTATCAGGATCTATGATTGCCCAGCTAACAGATAATACAGTTCTGAGGTCTGCTTATGGGCTTGGAATGAGTCATGGTTCCAGAATACGCACGTCTTAGCAGTAGCCATACGTGACAAGTATAATCTGAACTACATCAGACACAGGTGTTAGGGTCTGTTGGGGTTAATTAGGACTCCTAATTTCTCTAATCCCCTCCGTAAACTGTAATTACCCCCAGCTATATATAAAACTGATTATTTTTCAGTTAGGTCTATAAAACTGGCAAGTTTTCAATCACTGAATAAACTGTGTGTGGTTATGTGTCAAAGAATGTGTTAGATGTGATGGTGAAAACAAATACCGAATGACATATGAACCTTGCGGAATTTAAAAGCAGACTGGAGTATTAATGATTTTTTTAATGTAGAAAATCAAGGGCATGCTTACATTTCCAACATTTGTGTGTTTTTGTTTTTGTTTTTTTTTTACATTTGTGTGTTTTAAAGATGAGAGTGTATTAAAGGTGCTTTCAGTTGACAGTTGTAGTAAATGTGGGAAGATTATGCTTTATTTTGCTTTATGTAATGTCAGTGATGGTTAATTGGAATAAGTAAATTGGGAGCCAGGAAACTTGGATAATAATTATGGCTCTGCCTTTGAATGAGTCATCTAATACACACGGGCTTTGGTTCCTTCAGCAGCACAGGACTAGATTTTTTTAAAGATCCTGACTAGCTCAAAAAGATTGAGTCATCTCAATCTTTTTCCTTTAACTGTCAATTAGTGGTATTGTTTACAAGGGAGTTCAGTATTTATGTTCATTTTATATATATATATATATTTTAATATTTTTATTTCTTGAGAGAACATGCACTTGTAAGCAAGCTGGGGTGGGGTGTGGAGAGGGAGAGAGAATCAATCTTAAGTAGGTTCCACGCTGAGCATAGAGCCCAAAGCAGGACTGGACCTCTCAACCCTGAGATCATGACCCGAGACAGAATCAAGAATTGGACACTTAACCGACTGAGCCACCCAGGTGCCCCAGGAGTTCAGTTTGTAATCAAAAGAGTTTGGTCTTTTTTTTTTTTTAATTTTTTTTTAAATTTATTTATGATAGTCATACAGTGAGAGAGAGAGAGAGAGAGGCAGAGACACAGGCAGAGGGAAAAGCAGGCTCATGCACCGGGAGCCCGACGTGGGATTCGATCCCGGGTCTCCCGGATCGCGCCCTGGGCCAAAGGCAGGCGCCAAACCGCTGCACCACCCAGGGATCCCAGAGTTTGGTCTTTATTCTTTATGTCAAATAATTTTATCTTTGACCCCTACTCTAACCATCTAAAACAAGTGAATAAATATTGGCAATTCTTTATGTATAAAATGATTCTTGCTCAGTTTGTTTCTTCTGGGAAAACGTGCTTTTGTCAGATCTATTTTAAAATTTTTGAATAGAGAAAATAACATTAGTTAACCCCTTTTTATCCCTCATTACCTCCTTCCCTGTTCAACAGGTGAAGCAGTTAGGAAAATCATTTTTTGTTACTCCAGATTTCTAAATTTAGGATTTTTAAAAAGCCCTGATAGGGTTTTTTAAAGAGCCATAAGATTAAAGGGGTTTGAATAAATTTCCAGTTCCAGTGAAAAGACCATGGTTGCCTGTGCTGTATATTTTAATGTTAAGTTACCCATCCCACAGCAAAAGAAGTAAGATGCAGGTGTGTATCCAGACAAGCAACCTTACCTCTGTGCACCTCAGTTTTCTTATCTGCAATATAAAGTGAGGATGGTCGGTTATGATGAGTGACAAGTTTGCAGTGTGGCATTTGTTGTGACCAACTAGAGGCCTAGCAGTACTATCAGAGGAGTTCTGTTGACAGGCTATTTTTGTCCCCTTACTGAGTGGAAAAAATGGAGAGAGGGGGGCACCTGGGTGGCTCAGCTAAGTGGCTCGCTGTTGATTTCCACTCAGGTCATGATCTCAGGGTCCTCGGATGCAGCCCCATGTCAGGCTTCTTGCCCAGCCGAGGAGTTCACTTGTGGATTTCCTCTCCTCTCTCTGCCCCGCCCCACCCCCCACTTCATGCACATGCTCTAAATCTTTTTAAAAGTGAAAAAATACAGTAAGCTGTGGTTTCCAGAGTGTAGGTGTCTTAATGCTTGAATCCCTGCTGATAATTACGGAGACTAAAGCTTCAGTGTGGAGAAGCCCATGCAGCCCGAGCGTCAGTTTCACTAACAGAAGGTGAGGAAAGCCAAATGGATCGGAGACTCAGGACCTGGTTCTTTTCGTCTAGAGAACTGGACAGCGAATGGAAGTGCTTCCTGTTTCTGGTTAAAAGATGAAGCACTTGCCAGGCCCACAGGCCAAGGCTCTGGGTCTTGCTTTTAATATTCTCTCTCCAGAGAAAACTGAGGGACAAAGGCACTCTGGCTGACCCTCAGCCCCTGCCTTCAACTGTTGGAAGACAGGAAGGTCAGAGGGTAGAAGAATGCCTTGTAATAACTGTAACGGAGGGGCACCTGGGTGCCTCAGTGGTTGAGTGCCTGCCTTTGGCTCAGGTTGTGATCCCGGGGTCCTGAGATAGAGTCCCGCATCAGGCTCCCTGCATGGAGCCTGCTTCTCCCTCTGCCTGTGTTTCTGCCTCTCTGTGTCTCTCATGAATAAATATAATCTAAAAAAAAAAAAAAAAAGAATTGTAACGGAGAACAAGAAAGCTGAAGTACAAATAATAACTGACACTTATGGAAAATATCCTGTCCCATGTTGTCAGTAATATTTACTCCCTAAGTTTCTGAGTGTGTAATCTTTTCAACATTCATTACCTTAGGAACTTTGAATCTTATTTTAAGAAGGGCTAACTAAACTTCTCTATTATCAAGAAAGATTTTCAGTTTGGTAAAGCAAAGTAGTTTTTTATGCCTCTTTGTTTGATTTTGGTTTTGCTTTATTCTTATTGTTGACAATCATCCAAGTAGTCCTTTCATGAAACATATTTGTAATGACAGGGTTTCCTGAAATGTTTCAGACTCTGAAGGATCTCGCATGAATATATGCCCCCCAGACTGTCATCAGTAGACATGTTTTGCTAACATCATCGTAGAAGTTTTTTTTCCATTTCCTGTGAACATTTGGGACTTTTGAATTTTACTGCAGCGCAATGACATTTATTATGCCACTTGAAATTTAACTTTTGTAGACAAGAGAAGAAAGAAAAATGGAAGCAATTCTGCAAGCTTTTGCCAGACTTGAAAAAAGAGAGAAAAGGAGGGAACAAGCATTGGAAAGGATCAGCACAGCCAAAACTGAAGTGAAAACTGAATGTAAAGATGCACAGATTGTCAGCGATGCTGAAGTTCTTCAGGTATGTTACTCAGGTTTAGTTTTGTTTTCATGCTTAAGCACTTTCTAACAAAAATGGCACACCTGATTTAGTCATATTCTGTAAAGAATTTTTAATGTCTAATGGTGTTCAGGTGCATTTTTTCAAATCCCATGAGAATTTGCTTTTAGAGTAAGAAAAAATTATTTGAACTTAGTATATATCAGAATTCATAAACTTGAGGAAATTAGCTTCTGAAGTAGACTAATGTGTTTAGATTTCAGCTTCTCACTTCTGTAAACATAGAATCAAAAGATCCACTCTACTGTATTTTGAATTAGGAACAAGCAAAGGAAGAAACTGCTAGCAAGCCAACCCCTGCCAAAGTGAATAGGACTAAACAGAGAAAAAGTTTTTCTCGGAGTCGGACTCACATTGGCCAGCAGCGTCGGAGACACAGGACTGTTAGCATGTGTTCGGATATCCAGCCATCTTCTCCTGATCTAGAAGTCACTTCGCAACAGAATGATATTGAAAATACTGTACTTGCAATAGAACCAGAAACTGAAACTGCACTAGCAGAACTGATTCCAGAAACTGAAGTCCCAGCACTTACTAAGTGTCCTGCGAAGTACCCTAAAACAAAGAAGGTAGGGCTCTTCCGGAGCTTGGGGACTCTCTCCTAATGACCGTGTGTTAAGATGTTAAACATATTTGTGTTTTTAAGATTCAGTCTCTGTAACATCTCATTAAGGAACAAAACAGGAGGCCTAGTTTTTACACTTAGTAAAGTTACTAAACTAAGAATGAGAATCACAAAATTGTAAGATCAGTCAATAAAAATGTTTGTACTGTTGTTACAAAGAGTTATAGTATTCGGTATATATCAAGACTTTCTTTTAGTATTGCTAATGACCATGTAATGATTTTAAGAATTTATCAAAAAAATTTTTTAAATCTACCATATGTACTAAATTGACACTTTGTAGAAACAACTAGTTTTACATGTCATCTTTTATTCTTTGTATTTCCTCTAATTTTCACAGTATAGACAGATGAGAAGAATTAAATATGAAGAAATTGTTGATTGCCATAAGGAAGGGTAGTTTTAAAAGAGCTTATTCATCTTTGAAAACCTACTCTCAGACCTAATGATGGGAAAGCAATTATGGGAAACTATTCACTGAGATAAACCAACCTGAGCTTTATAGCTCAGAAATAACAGAACATCCTTATGAAGTGCCCCCAACCCCTGGTGGAGTATAGTAGACTGGAGCAGAGGTATCAAGTGGTAATTCCTTAGGCTCTTTGGGGAGGTGTTAGATCATAACTGGATTCTTCTCGTACACTTATATAACAAAATGTTTTGAAATTTAATTTATCTTGTCTTTGTTCTTATCGGATCCAGTACAGTTTGGTACTATGAGACCAGAAGTATATTCCGCAAACATCTAGGATGAACCTGGGAGTATACTTTAATGGCGAGTCAGAGGGTTAGAGAGATCTGAGCACAGTTCTGATTGGAAGTCAGTACTCTTCCTTACCGCCCCTTGGATCTTGAACAAGCAAGCCAACACTTGCCTTCACCATGAGCAGTTAAATGTATGTTAATTATGCTGGAATTAAAAAAAGAAACCAATCAATGAGCAGTTATTTTTGCCCACTTTGGAAGGACAAAAAATAATTGTAACTTTTCTTGCAACTTTTCTTTGTAATTTAGTGAAAAGAAAAATTCATGTTTAAAAGAGAAGCTACTTTCTTGACTACAAATGATATAAAACCTGCCTTTTAATTTTTATATGCCTCAGTTATTGTGGCATTACTAGTTTACTTAAATTCCTGGTCTGAGATGTAGACTCTTATTCGATTTTAAACAACATACTGTTTGAATACCAAATTATCATGTTTCCTCTAATGTAAAGGCTCCATGTAGTGTAAATAGGGGATAGCACTTACTCTGTGCCAGATACTATACCATTTGGAGAGCTTTTATATATGTTATATATGTTATTTAGCTTTTTTTTTTAATTTTTATTTTAAAAAAAAATTTTTTTTAATTTATTTATGATAGTCACACAGAGAGAGAGGCAGAGACATAGGCAGAGGGAGAAGCAGGCCCCATGCACCGGGAGCCCGACGTGGGATTCGATCCCGGGTCTCCAGGATCACGCCCTGGGCCAAAGGCAGGCGCTAAACTGCTGCACCACCCAGGAATCCCTATTTAGCTCTTTTAATCCTCACAGTAACCTTATGTGTAGAGCTAGTTTGTTATGACCCTCCTTTTACAGATAAGGATTGAGATATAGAAAAGTTATGTAACTTGAAGTCATGGTGTATGTGGCAAAGCCAGGACTCATACTCAACAGTCTAGCCGCAGACTCTCTGTGCTTCCTGTTGTTTGTCCAGGATACACAGCTGTACATACATTGGGGGAGAAAGAGAAAACAGATACTAGAACGTTTATGATGATTCTCACTGGAAGACATTATTTTTTAATGTGTGTCTGTGTGTGTGAGAACGCATATACTGCTTTTAGATTTTTATAGAGTAAAAACAAAAATATTTGATAACCAGATAGAAAACATATACCTACACAGCAAACAAAATGTGCTTGTGCTGACAGATGTAATCCTTATTTCCATACCCATTATAATTGAACTTGAAACAATTATATATAACTAGACAACAAAAAAAGTGAGTAGTCATTATATTTTAGGATCAGGTGTATTCAATAGAGCTAGTAAAGATAATTATATATACACTGTAGGTTAAAAAAATCAACAGAATTAATTTAAAAGGGACTGTGTAAATTTTCAAATAGTGATGGTCAATTCTCACACTTTTTTTTCTTCTTAATGTATATTCATCTGGATATTTTGGTAGGCAGCCAGGGTAGAAAAACACTGCATAATATCAGATTATTCTTACAGACTGATAATAGAAGCCGTAATAAACCTAAATTTAGTGTCTGTGTTTATAAAATATACTGAAGTCTCTTAGACCTTACTATATTTCAAAAGGTACCATGTGTTTTCTTCCTGACAAAGTACTATTGTTTAAAAAATTGTAGGAGCAGGAGAAGTTAACCAAAGAAATGTAGAATGACATTTTGATTTTTTGGACATCATCTATGAATGATTTACATTACCCAGCATATCATTTTGGATAATATATCAATTTCAAATTTGTTATCAGAATGTTCTATAGAAGAATCTGTATAATTATATATCAATTGATGCAAATTTTTCTTTTCTCTAGCACTTGGTCAATGAATGGTTAAGTGAGAAGAATGAGAAGACAGGAAAACCTTCAGACAGCCTTTCAGAAAGGCCTCTGCGCATAACTACAGATCCTGAAGTGTTAGCTACCCAACTCAATTCTTTACCAGGTCTCACTTACAGTCCCCACGTGTACTCTACTCCTAAGCACTATATTAGATTTACGTCACCATTCCTTTCAGAAAAAAGGAGAAGAAAAGAACCTACTGAAAACATTTCTGGCTCATGCAAGAAGGTAAACTTTTCTTTGGATATAAAAACCTAGGATGAGCCCAAGGCCAGTCTCCTTCCTTACTACCATTCCTGGTAGTGAAATGCTTTTTAGAATCAGCTCTACATTTAGAAGCTATATAAACAGCTACAAATTGATTTCTATTCATTTGTCATGTATTCCAGCGATGGTTGAAGCAAGCCTTAGAAGAGGAAAACTCCGCAATTTTACATAGATTTAACTCACCCTGTCAAGAAAGATCCAGAAGTCCTACAGTCAATGGTGAAAGTAAAAGTCCACTGCTCCTAAATGATAGCTGTTCCCTTCCAGGTAGAATTTCTTTTGAGTGTTTAGTGTGAAGAATGTGGCAGGATATATACAGCTTATATAACAGACATTCTAATTGTTATACACTTTATAAAAGAAACATTTTATTTTTTCTGTCCTCTAGCCTTTTGGATGAAGATAAACATGAAAACCTTAATTTGCAGTACCATGTATATTTGGGCTTATGGATCAGTGTTTGGGCTGTTCCTCAGATTTTAACAAAGTCTTAGAAATCAATTTAACATCTGTAGTTGTAAGACTTCTCAGACTCTAGGCCCGTAGGCCATCTGGCAAGATGCTTCGTGCTGTAATAGTAAAAATTCATGTGCGGGTGGGGGAGAGAGTGTTTCGTGTTGGTAGAATCTTTAGAAACCCTGAAATTGAGTTGGTGAAAGTCATCAACAATTACTGTTGTTGATGTTTTGGTCTTTCCCAGAATATATTACAGATTATAGCAAATGCCAGCAATACAATGTCTATTATTATTGCACCAACAGATTTAACTACACCACTGAAAAAACGAAGGCTTTATCAGTTGCTAGATTCTGCTTACTCTGAAACCTCCACACCTACTCCTTCACCGTATGCTACGCCAACTCACACAGATATCACTCCCACGGACCCATCGTTCGCCACTCCACCACGGGGAAAATCAGATGACGAAGCTTGCAGAAATGGTTATAAGCCTATATATTCACCAGTTACCCCAGTAACTCCTGGCACACCAGGAAATACCATGCACTTTGAGGTGAGACATTTAAATGGGAAAAGAAAACCTGTGGGGATGGTATATTTAACAGCCCTCCCCCCCTTAACAAGTATTGTGGTTTGAGTAAGAAAAGACAGTTTTTAAGAAACCAAAAGGGCAAATTTGGAACATGCATTTATATGAATTTAAACTTTTATATTTACATTTTTATTAAAAGTTTTATCACATAAAACTTTCATGTTGTTGATACTTAGTATCAGACTAAATGGCTATGTGTATCAACTGGACCTTAAACCAAAGTCTGTATAAGTTTTCATTTCTATAAATATCATGGATTTACAGATTTTAACTTTCAATTCTAATTCTTTCTTTTATATAGAATATTTCTTCCCCAGAAAGTTCTCCAGAAATTAAGAGACGCACTTATAATCAAGAGGTAAGGAGTTATTCAAAAAGATTAAATTGGTGACCTCTTCCTCTTATCATTATTTTGCTTAAATATTGGGAGATTTTAAAATAAGTAGTCTCAAGATGTTTTTATTTGTGTCATTGTTTTGTTTTGGTTCTACAAACAGGGATATGACCGATCTTCAACCATGTTAACTTTGGGGCCTTTTAGAAATTCCAATTTAACGGACCTGGGTCTGCAAGAAATCAAGACTATTGGTTATACCAGCCCTAGGAGTAGGACTGAAGTCAACAGGCAGTGCCCTGGAGAAAAGGAATCTGTGTCAGACCTTCAACTGGGACTCGATGCAATTGAGCAAACTGCCTTACATAAAACCATGGAACCACCTACACATGACAGGACTGATTCTAACAGCCAACTGGAATCTACTCACTCTGGACGGGGCACAATGTATTCTTCCTGGGTAAAGAGTCCTGACAGAACAGGAGTTAACTTCTCAGTAAACTCTAACTTGAGGGACCTGACACCCTCCCATCAGCTGGAGGTTGGAGGAGGCTTCCGAATAAGTGAGTCAAAGTGCCTGATGCAGGATGATACTAGAGGCATATTTATGGAAACACCTGTGTTTTGTACTTCAGAAGATGGGCTTGTTTCTGGTTTCGGACGGACTGTTAATGACAATTTGATCGACGGGAGTTGCACACCCCAGAATCCACCACAAAAGAAAAAGGTTACAAATTTAACGATTTTAGTCCTTTTAATAGTGTCTTTTTCATACTCCTTCTGAGGGTTATTAGCAGTTATACTATGTGTTATGTAAGGCATTCGTACTCCAGTTAAATTTTTTATATGTACATTTTTAAACCTTTTGTAAATGCTCAATTAGAAAATGTTTACAGAGAAGTAGAACGTTCTAGTGATAAGGAAAATGCTTCTAAGCATGGTTTCAGAGATCGAAACCTCAAGGTGATCTATTTCACTGAAAGAGTAACTTCAAAATAACCACTTCCCGGCCAAATAAACAGAGTTGAATAATATCTGTGTTCTTCTTATCCTTACTTGCCATAGAACAGCCAGCCTTGTATTGGAGAAATGCTTCTTTCTTCATCTATAATACCTATAGTCTTTAGGCCACGGATAGGAGTATTTTGAGAATGTTCTATAAACAATAATGTAAGTTCCCTGACATTCCACCATCATTTGGTTGGGCAGACATACTGAGAAAATTAGAATGCCTTATTTCATAGGAATGGGATAAACGACATTTATTTTATTTGTTAATAGGCTTATTGCTTTGCAAGTCAAAGAATTTTAGTGATGTGTGCTTTTAATTTTTGTAACAGAGTCCAGTTGGCAACTTTGTGGGAAGCAATGTAGTATAGTGGAAAGAGCACGGGCTTTCAAGTAAGACCTAGGTTCGAATCCCGGCTCCAACACTCACCAGCTGTGTGACCGTGAGTGAGTGAGTTACTCAATTTCCTCATCTGTAAAATGGGGATGATAATATACCTATTTCATAGGGTTGTTGTGAGGATTAAATGAGATAATGTATGTAAATCATCTAAATGCAATGCCTGGCATATAATAGGCATTGATAATTGTTAATTATTATTTGTTCAAAAATCAAATTATTTTACATAATTTTTCTAATGTAAATATAGTAATTCTCTTTAGAAAAAAAAAGAATAGATCGACTCTGACCTATAAAACAAAAATAAAAGATTTGCTTTTCCTTATCTTTCTTGCTTCAAGGTTTCTCTATTAGAATACCGTAAGAGACAGCGTGAAGCCAGGAAAAGTGGCTCTAAGGCAGAGCACTTTCCCCTGGTTAGTGTGTCGCCTCACGCAAGTGGCAACTCAAGCAACAGTGGTGACGGGTGTGCCAGCAGGAGCGAGAGTGGGGAGCAGCTAGAAGGCACAGCTAGCCTGCCTTTACCAGCACCAGCTACAGCTTATAGTGCTACTTTGGAAGAAACCAGCAATAACTGTCCTGTTAAGGAAGCTCCTGCCAGTGAGAAGAATGAACCAGAAGTTCAGTGGTAAGCCTGGGTAGTGTAACTTAGAATGAAAGTTGTCTTTGTTCTTTGTCATCCAGGCGGGAGCTTTTACATAGCTGATTTTAAAAGCGGCTAGATCTGGAAAGCACAGGCTTTCATTAGTGAACTCTCTCCCCATCTGCTGCTGTTGCCCTGGGCCAAGGGGCTAGACGGTGCGGTCATAACGTGGAGAGATCCTCTCTGCCGAGAGGGTTTCAGGCAGCCCTGTGTTTGCCTGTGTGAAGGCTCCGCTGTGCTTCCTTTTTGACAGTTCTCACATTTTCCCCACAAATATCCTGTCCAGAGAACTGTCCTCTTAGTCTGCAGCCTGTGGTTTCCCTGTATCCCAAACCGGTTACAGAAAGGAAGAACGAGTTATTTTTTTCAGTAGGACCAGCAGAGGCTGGATGTGGGAAGGGTCTTGGCAAAGGGCAGAAGGGCCCATTCACTTGGCCTCTGGGTCCCCTCACCCCCGAGAGCTTCCCACTGGCCTTACAATCCAGACACAAGGTCAGATCTGGCACCTGCCGTGGTGTCTGGAATGCTGATATACCACCCTTCAGCCCCCACTCCCCGTCACCAAGAAATCGCTTGCGACAAAGGAATGGAGGCTGTGTTCAAAGCTTTACACCTGAGTATTTTCCCAGCAGCGCAACAGCCTTGGTCTGAGAGGACATGTTGGCCATCAAGGACAAAGAATAATCTAGCTGGCAGTAGCTTCCTTGAACTGATGGTATGATTGATTTTATGTTCAAGGACCGCTTCAACCTCAGTGGAGCAAGTGAGAGAAAGGAGTTACCAGCGAGCGCTACTTCTCAGCGATCATCGAAAAGATAAAGACAGTGGTAAGTGAGCTCGTTCCTTTGCTGAGAAGTGGAGCCAGTGGACCCCTCTGCACCCTCGTTCTTGGCAGCGCTAACATTCTCTTCGGGTCTGCTTCGTCTCTAGGGGGAGAGTCACCATGTGTCCCATGTTCACCGAGTCATGTTCCGTCTTCACCTTCATCTCATTCAAATCACATTCCCCAGTTGCAACCCAAGGGCCCAGTCCCTCCTTTCAGTGAACTTATGGAAGGTCAGTAAGCAGATGACCTATCGTGGTTATTGTTTTAAAAACCTTTCTAAATCAGGAAGGAGAGCGCCTTTCTAAGAAGTGGGTTGGAAGAGAATTTATGCCGCTCTGTAGTGTTAGTACTGGGCGGTGCTGGTCGCGCAATTTTACATTTACTCCAGGTTTCTTCTACTTTACAGATCCCGACACTGAAAATCCAGAACCCATGACTACAAGTGAATGTCCATCCCCAGACACCTCTCAAAATACTTGTAAAAGCCCTTCAAAAATGAGCAAGGTAATACAATTGACCTTTGAATGTGGCCATTCAGAGAAGTGGACGCTAATGTGCACACGGAGATTTTCCTGCTGTACCAAGGATCAGGTTGCGATTCTTGCGGTGCTTTGGGACCGGCTGGTCTCCTGTGCGCACGGCACCTCGGTATTCCTCCTAGAGGTCCACCTGTCAGCCCCGGAGATTCAGGCTTTTCCTGAACGGTCCGTTTTCTAACACCAAAGGTCAGATGACCAGTCCATTGAAAAGAAATGCTACTGCCATCCCGATTCAAGAAGACGTGGTGGTCTCATGTTGGTGCCAGGATCTGTGGAAACTAAAGATGAGGGATCGAAGATGGATTTTCTTTTTTCCTCAAATGTAACATCATACACATTTCAGTGGTCTTGTACTTGGATTATTCATATTTGAACAAAAGACATTTGAGGTTATAGCAGTTTGGGCGAGCACGTTTAATTTACCCAAACCGGTTGATCGTTAGGTTGGGTGCAGGATACGGAATTGAAACTTGCCAAGTGCTGGAGGTTACCAGAATTCTTTCAGGATAAGGCTCAGAAGCAGGTTTGATCACTTAGGGGAAAAAGGCACACTGAGTGTAAAGACCATTATTTCCGTAACTTGTCTTCAATAAAAATTAATCGAGGGCATTCTGGTTATGCTCAGCATAAGAACTCACTCAGCTACTGAAAAGGCTGCCTGTCTTTGTCTTGGGTGTGTCTCCCCCCACCCCACCCCCCGCAGCCCGGTGTCGGGCTTCTCCAACCTGTCTGTCTCATCCTCCACCTCTTTCTAAAGGGGATCCTGAAATAACCTTTTAAATACCACCGGTAACCGTCCTCCATGTACAGAACACGTGTCTTATGGGATCCGTTTTCTTTCCACAGCCTGCTTCCCCGGGCCCCGGGCTTCCTGTTCAGCCACAAGGGAAAATACCCACCAAGTCCGATTCGCACTGGGAGGCGAGTGCGCCCGCGTCAGAAGCCGAGAGCGGGGTTCACCTGAAAGCAGAAGTCCACCCGAAGCAGCTGCTGAGTAACACCCAAGCGCTGGCCAAGAATCCTCCTCCTCAGCCACTCGTCCGAAGCGCATCCGAGCAACTTTCACAGAAGCTGCCATCCGCGCCAGTGAAGTTGCACTGTCCTCCGTCCCCTCATGTAGAAAACCCTCCCAAGTCCTCGACACCCCACCCACCTGTGCAGCACGGTTATCTATCACCAAAGCCCCCCTCCCAGCAGCTGGGATCGCCCTACAGGCCTCATCATTCACAGTCACCTCAAGTGGGAACACCTCAGCGAGAGCCTCAGAGAAATTTCTACCCAGCGGCACAGAACCTTCAAGCCAGTACTCAGCAGGCCCCGTCTGGAGCCCTATTTACACAGACCCCCTCAGGACAATCCTCAGCGACATATAGTCAGTTTACCCCCCCAGGTCTGAGCAGCACGGCACCGCCCCCTCCACCCCCTCCGCCCCCCTCCTCCTCGTCTTACTATCAAAACCAGCAGCCCTCTGCGAACTTTCAGAATTATAATCCGCTTAAAGGTAGTCTTTCCCAACAGACTGTGTTTGCAGCGGGACCAAATCAAGCCCTTCCTGGCGCCAGCGGCCAGCAGCCCGCCCCAGGCCACCATGTCACTCCAGGGCATTTCTTGGCTTCGCCCAACCCTCCTCTCCACCATCAAAGCGCTGCGGCAGTGGTTCCTCCCCCGCCGCCCCCACCCCCCGCCCCCGGGCCGCACCTCGTGCAGCAGCCAAGCTCCCATCAGCAACACTCTGTAGCTCACGTAGTTGGGCCCGTTCACGCCGTCACCCCTGGGTCTCACATTCATTCTCAAACTGCTGGCCACCATCTGCCCCCGCCCCCACCACCCCCTGGTCCCTCCCCTCATCACCACCCGCCACCTCCCCATCCTTCCACAGGACTCCAGGGTCTACCAGCACAGCACCAGCATGTTGTAAATTCGGCACCCCCCCCACCTCCTCCGCCGCCACCCTCCAGTGTTTTGGCTTCCGGGCATCACACCGCCTCTGCTCAAGCCTTACACCATCCACCTCATCAAGGACCTCCACTTTTTCCTTCAAGTGCTCATCCAACTGTACCACCGTATCCCTCCCAAGCCACACATCACACCACTCTGGGACCGGGACCCCAACACCAGCCTTCTGCAACAGGGCCACATTGTCCATTACCAGTCGCAGGTCCTCATCTCCAGCCCCAAGGACCAAACAGTATTCCAACACCTACTGCTTCAGGGTTCTGTCCTCATCCTGGCTCTGTGGCCCTGCCACATGGGGTTCAAGGACCTCAGCAGGCATCTCCAGTGCCCGGACAGATTCCAATTCACAGAGCACAGGTGCCACCAACATTTCAGAACAATTACCATGGTTCAGGGTGGCATTAAAATGGACTCCAAAAACATTTTTTAAAATGTTCTGTAAGATAAACTGTATATTTCATATGTACCTGTTAAGGTACTTTTTAAAGCTTGTACATGAAACTTTGTATAAAAAAAAAAAAAAACACCAGTGCTCTTTCATTGTATTTTTCCCATTTTTGCTTTTTAAAATTCCTTAAAAAATGTGCTGTTAAGCCAGTATTAGGTATCTTTATTTTGTAAGTGAACATTCCAGCTGTTTTTCTGGCAGTAGATTTGATGCTACATGACCTTTAAATTTTATTGTTGCAGTTAAAATTCATTTAGTGAATGTTTTCTATATTATTTTATACATATGCATTTAAGTACACAGCTAAGTAATGGCACTATGCGGATTTTCATTTTTTTTTTTCCTGTCAGCAGTTCTGTGAGTGCATCTTAGGTATAAAAAAAAATGCAATACAGATTTTTATAGTTTAGTGTGGACATGGCTCATTTTGTTTTATCGGTTATTTGCAAGCAAAATGTAATTTAATGTATAGATGATTTTTAATGTCTCCTGACAAACTGTAAATACTGCATTTCTTTTGCGTATATAATTGCTTACAGCTTTTCTCATTTGATATATAGCTTTGTATATACAGCAAGTCTTTGCAAAACTGTGTGATCTTTGTGGAAGTAGTACAGTATATGGCCTTTAATTTCTTTTTTATTTTAAATATACTGTCACATTGAAGCACTGGTTGGGCATTTTAATTCATGTTAATAAATCACAATTATGTCAGTTTTACCAAATTGTCCTGTACAACTTCTGAGATTGGAGTCTGTTTAAACAAGAGTTTTTAACACAAGTTCCATCTTTTCAGATCTAGTTTGTAAGGAGCCTTCCAGTGTCTTGAGCTCCACCTACCTCAGCTGGACGTAGCAGACATCAGGAGGAGTAAGGGGCTGTTCCTCCTACCGGTCATGCTCCTACCGGTCATTTGTGTGGGAGCGAGAAGCCACAGGAGGCCCCCTTGCTGGGGGAGGCCGCGTACACTTACTTCCAACTGGCCTCACGTGAAACGAACCCCTACTGTTCGAGCCCTGCCCACGGCTGAGTTCCAGCCCGGAACTCAAAGGTTTGGAAGTCTGGTGTAGTCAGCCTGGCAACCCAAATCCCTCATTTTGTACCCTGTAGAGCACGCAGGACTGCAGGGTCTTGCCAATCAATCAAAATTACTTGAAAACCCTAAATTAACATTTACTATCTAGCTATACTATTAAAAAGAAAGTAGTAGATCTTCGGAGTTCATTTCGGGGATACAAGACTAAAAGGAACAAAGCAGCATGCTTTGAGTTCTCAAGTGAAATGAAAGTAGCCTCTCAAATGGACACTTCGCTGAAATACCCAATGCTAGCTTTTGTTTTGGGAAAATAAAATCCTTTGTCTTCTACCTTTAGGAGAATTAAGTATAACTGGAGGTAATGACACAAACACATTTTTCCAGTTTTCACCTAGTTGACATAGTTTGGCACAGCATATACCCTCTGTGCACTGGAGAAAACCGTAAGCAGACTAAGAATGACTGGATAAGATCTGGCAGTAATGAAAAGTCAGGTTTTACAGTAACCTTTAATTTCCATTTCCTTTTGAAAACCAGCTCATGACAGTACACGAAGACCGCTGCGTCCAGGGCTCAATTCTAATCAGCTTCAAGTTTTAAGAGAACTTAGGTCAACTTTGCCCTTCTTGACTTTAGCGAACAACGTTCTACTCACAGGTGTTCATTAAGGACACGCTTGTCCAAGAAAATATGGCTTTACCTCGCCCGGCCCCGCGGTTTCACAGAACAGAGGTGGTTAACCATCAGCACAGCGAGCAGCCTTGGTCACTTCTTTAAAAGGACTGTCCTCCTAAGGACTTTAAGTTCCTCAATTATAGATTTGCCTACAAATAACTGATAGAGAAGCTTCTCCATGACCTGCAGGACCTCGCGGGATTCCCTGACTCCTTGATGAAGGGCGCACACACTCTCAAATACGGTCTCTGCCAAAACTTCATTAAAGTTTTAAGAACATTACTGGAAGAAAAAAGGGAATTTAGGAATAATCTCAATTGCGAATACAAATTGGAGTTCTCTACCCAAGGAGAAACTGTAGTTTATCGTGTTAGTATGATCCGAGTACAGGAAGAAGCAAGTTAGTAAATCAGTTTTCACCTGAAAAATTTATGCTTTCCTGAAGCGTCTAAATTTGCTTTTTTCAGCCTTTGGGCAGTTCTACTCTCCAGGCAGCCAGCTTCTCCTCTGCTGAAATCACGTGTGTGATCCACTGCTTGTCCTTTTCCGTGAAGACTTGACCCGGACTAACAGGAGGAGAAGCCAGGACACTCCCTCGGACCAGCGAGCTGGCTGCGGCGCTCAGCTCACACGTGTTCTTTATCATCAAGCCACCAAGATTCTGCTAAAAACCACACTATTTCTAATACAAATGTATACTCCTTCTAGAACAATTTTCTTATATTGTAAACCAGCGAGGCTCTTAAATTTAGAAGGGATAGATCTTTACCAATTCCGAACAATCTAGTTTATTTTCTAACATGAGCCGGAACTGCATTGGATAGATTTCATTCACGTGTGCTATACACCCTGCTATTGATGCTTCAGAGTTAGGGAAGACAAAGACGTACTTGGTGGCTCTTGTAAGGACGGACCCTGCGGACATGGTGTCTGTCGTAGAACCTACTCGGTAACCTACAGCCTCGTCCGAAACCCTTAGCATGCACGATGCATAGGAAGTGCTTATGTTCTATTATCTCACAGCCACATGTGACATCATGCTAACTCCTGAAAGGACTGTGTCTCGTTCCCTCAAGATGAATACTGTTAAGATTTTAAAAAGATGTGCAATGCCCAAACACAATGTAGCTCCTTTGTTTTTTGATAGAAGGTGAATGAAAAAGAATCACTGCAATTCTAGGTAGTGAATCTGTACGACACAGCAATTCTTCTAAACCCACATTCTGTTCTTAGAAAACAATGAATGATTTACTTATAATAAGCCTTAATGCATGTTCTACAACTATGTTTCCTGCGACAGGAATGCTGATGCTTTCTTTAGTTTGGGCTACACTACACTAAAAGGAGAGCAAATGTTTGTTGATTCTATCACTTCAAATACAGGCCAATGACCAAGGCAATGTCTGGAAAAAAAAACCAAAACACTTTAATTTTTAAGACAACTGCAAGCACCTCAAACAATGGATTATTATTACAACACTTGTTATCTTTTCACAATCTAGTTATTGCAAAGGCATATGGATAAATGTTAATGGACAAAGTCAAGAAAAACGAGGCACCTTAATGAATGTGAAAGTTTAAAAAAAACCTGACATTCAATCCACTGACTTCTAAAAGAGGCTAGAGAGACCTCCGTATATTACATTCTAAAATGGTATTGCCTACTATGGTTTGTGTCCTGGATTCTACAAGTTTAAGGAAATGCATAAACAAAATTGTGTGCAACCTGCAAAGGGAAAATCATTTTCTCAACTTCGATGCATGGGAAGACAACGAAAAAGCTAGTAAAACTATCGTAGCCACACAGAAACGTGATCCCTGCTACCTCGCAGATGTTAGGATCGTGCCTGCTGCTCTAACTGTACATACCATACCTGGGTTTTGGACAAACACAAGCAAACTTTTCCAAAAAATATATATATATTTTTTTCTCATTCCATACACTGCACATGGTTTTGTTGTCCGAGTTAATCTATGTAGAGTTTAACTTACAGTGTTTGGAGGAGGCAACACCACATGGTACCGGGCTATCACATTTTTAAAGGGAAATTGCTTTTTCTTTAAAGTACTTTTAAAAATATGCAAAAATATGAATGGGAGTGCCAAAACTATAATACGTATTTCAGAATGAAAGCGTGTCTTTTCTTGCTTTAAAGTGCCATATAGGGAATGACATAACTCAGAGCCACTTTGTTTAAAATCCAATGTAAAAAGGACTGTTAGGGAATGAAAGGTCTGCACAGCTCCTGGGAGCAGTTCAAGTCCGCTACATGCAACTCAGGCTACAAAGCACTCAAGACTTGGTAGCTTTTCTGAAATTTGAGTCCCCATCCCATATTTAATGGAAATCAACATTTACAGGGTGCATTTACATACACTATAATACAGGAATGATGTCCCTTTGCGAGAAGATAAAATTGTACATTTCCTTGCTATTTCTTGGTTCCAACTTGATAATTTCTTAAGATTGTAAATTATATAGTACTCAGCTAAAATATTTCTTCATAAATAGTTACAAAACCTGCCAAAACACAAGGGGGAAAGTATTTTTTGTTCAAAAAAATTGACATTTGAATGTCACACAACACAAGAAACAATGCTTAGAGACATGTTATTGTTTCCAGAAGAAAGTGGGTCAGTAAACTACTAAGCTGAAGACAAAAGACTACCCTTCCCCAGGATCACAGTGCACAAAAAGCAAAATGTCAAACAACAGTACCTCAAAGCAAAATAAAGGTCTGAGGATGAAGCCAGCTCACTTGTAATCCTGTTAAAGAATGAGAGTCACCGTTTAGGTCCAATGTACTGGAAAACATTTGCTAGCTCAGAATGCTCGATTTGTAGAATCTGCTAAGAATTCAACCAAGGATGCCGAAGGCATTCGCCAGCTGAGGCTCGTTTTTCTGGAACCATTTCTAACATTGGGATCAGGAAATCTGTAAACTGTGCAGCATCTTCATGGGGCCAACCATACTTTTCCACAAGGACATCAAAGAGGCTCCAGGGCTTCAGCTTGGTGATATGCCGCAGTTCTCCTACAGGGAAGAAACAGGCACCGTCAGGAGAGCTCGGGTGTGCGCTTCCCGCCGGTGGTGCAGCCAGGTGTTCAAGGAGGCGGACACCTACCTGCCCGACACTAAGCAACGCCAGGAAAGGCCGGCCTTCCCCTCAAGCAGTAACCGCTAGTTCTCTAGGCTGTGTCGCATTTCACGGAAGCTTGGCAAGTGCCAGTAAGGGGGTTCAGATCAAGAGTCCCGGGCTCCTCCAGGTGTCCCCCCCCCACGTCTTTTATTTGTAAGGAATGACAAAGGCACGCTCTCTCCACTGTGGGGTCTTCTACAATTTGTAGACATGCTTAGGAGAAGCTCAAGCTGCGTACAGAGCCCTGGCCCGTCCCCTCTGCTGTTACCCACACAGAGAAAGGAGTCTTGCCCTCTGGACAGTGCTGTTTTGGAGAATCTCTCTGATGCTATAGACAGACTTTATCTCACTGTTCGACACGTAGCTGCTCCCTAGATGTGACTACCGAGCCCGACGTGCGGTGCTCAGCGCGAGGGAGGAACGTGAGGGTCCGTCTGTCTGTCTGTAACGGGCCACAAGCAACCAGCGGCTCCCGCACGGGGCGGCGCAGCTCAGCGCCAACCTGAATCAAACAGCGCTCATTTCTACATGCTCGGGGACAGGTCTAAGAGGTCAGGACGTCAAAGCTTGAGGTTGAACTCTGAAAGCGTGTTGGCTGCAACGTAAAAAGAGTAGGTTACAACTAGCCCTGGCTGACCTGATGGTGACGCACAGCGATGTAGATGGTCCGAGGACAGGGCAGCCTTTGTCATAATAGGGGAAAAAGTTGCTTTAGGTCAAACTACTAAAAGGTCAGGTTACCCTTTAGGAGTAAGTCCCTTCCTCTTCCACTCAGAAATTTTCCCAGGCCTGTCCGTGCAGAGGCCCGTGGGCACTCGCGGTCTCACGCACGCTCCCCGCGCGTCGGCCCAGAGCACCAGGCCTGCACCCGCCGCACGCCCCCCACACGCCCCATCTCCTCGCCCCTTCCCCTTGCTCCGCTAAGCCACGAGTGAAGGTTTTCACGATACGCACTAAGAGGCGAGCAGTGCTGTGCGTCCAAGGTCGTCTCAGGATGCCTGGGCCGGCTCACCCATTGAGGCATCTCCATTTAGACCACCGACCACCCCCCTCTTCCATTAATCACAAAGAGAATCAAAGAACATTACAGGAGACTAAGAACAAGAGAAAAAATGACCCATAATTTCACGCACAAGGATTTTTTTTTGGGGGGGGGGCTCACATGCTCTTTTAATTCTGTTCTTATGAGCTGGTACCTCTATAGTGCTGTACTCATCAAGTGCACAGAATTTGGAATAAAACTCTAGGGAATGTTTTTTGTCAGAGACAGTGTGTAAAATCATCTGAGGACGGAGGCTAGAGCTCAGGGTGGTTACAGAACTGTAGGTCAGGTCTACTTCTATGAGGGAAGTGGACTTGACATCTTAGGGGAGAAAGTGTTCCCCCCTGTGGAAGGAAGACCGTGTCACTGGGAATGAAGTCTGAGCAATCGCTGGAAGTTCATCCCCTTTAATCTGGAAATTCCAGCTCTAGGAATCCAGCCTAAGAGAATAAACCCTAGCACCCACCACCCCACACCCCAAACACAGACACTGCAAAATTAGAGGTGCTTGTGAAATGCTCGGTGATAGGCAAATGGTGGCTAAACAACCAACCAACCATCGGACACCTACTTGATGAACACTATTTAATATTACCTAATAACATGGAGTGAAATTATATGGCACAATGTCTGGTACCAGAAGAATTGGATCGCAAGAGTAATTTTCAAAACGCCCTTAAAGATGCAAAGCAGGTGCCCCCAAACACCAGCTTCGTTACTGGTTTTCTAGGGACTGTGGCTCTCACCGGAGCAAGGATAAAGGACACTAGGGAAGTTCACATCACACATCACACGCTAAAACCAAGTTCTCTGGAAAGGGAGAACCCTCCACTACTGACCTTCATCTGTTCTGGCCCGGAGCAAACATGCCGTGGGTTTAAATGGACGCACCTGCCGAGCTGCAGTGTCTGCGGAGACTGAGGAGGAAGCTCTGTCGGGGGGTGCCACTTTTAAACTAAAATTCATCAATAGGCATCAAATTAAGTACAATCTTTTATGAAAAGAGAGCAGCTTTACTGTGCTGGATGCCTTAAAACCTGCATAATAATAGTGATGAAAACAATACACAGCCGAAAGGCCAAAAAAATCTATTTATTCATACCTCACTAGCTAGAAACCAACACATTTATTTCCAATGTACAGACTAAAATACCTAACTTCCGTTGGCTAGGTAGTCCCACACAACCATGTGCAAAGACGCTGTAACAGGAAAACATGCAACATGCAACACAGTCCTGAGCACCAACTGGTACTGAACACACACCACCACCGCAGGAACAACACCGAACTGCCTCTGAACACAACAGACATGTGGGTCATGTAGAGCTGGAAGAACTAATGCCAAGAAAAAAGCCAGGATGTAAACTGGCCCAGGCCCTACGATCACATGTACAAGTTACTGTGTTCAATTCAATACGAAACACAGTCTTCTAAACAGTTGATCAGGTAGGAGCTCACTCATACATGGAATTTAAGAAAACAAACAGATAAACAGCGGCAGGGAAGAAAAGAAAAAACAGAGAAGGAAACAAACCATGGGACACTCTTAATGACAGAGAACACGGAGGGTGGTGGAGAGAAGGTGGATGGGCTGGATGGGGGATAAGCGGACAGCTGTCAACTGATGAGTGGGGAAACCAAACACGGTCACCCCCACACACACCCGGCACAGCACAGGGTACTGTACAGGCCACCACACATGAGAGGAACTGGGAGAAACCATCTCCAAGTCCACGTACTGCACGATCCCGTTTATAGGACCCGTCCAAACAGGGAAACCGCAGGAGGCAGAGAGCAGATCCACGGGCGCGGGGGGAGGTGGCGAGAGCAGGGTGAGCGCCACAGGCACCCGGTTTCTGGTTGAGAAAGAAGACACTGAAACCAGCTAGTGCTGACGGCCACGTCAACTCTGGAATACACTAAAAACTACTGAACTGTATACTTTATTTTTTTTAAGATTTTATTTATTTAAAGAGAGACACAGAGAGAGGGAGGCAGAGACACAGGCTGAGGGAGAAGCAGGCTCCACGCAGGGAGCCCAACGCGGGACTCGATCCCGGGTCTCCAGGATCAGGCCCTGGGCTGAAGGGGGCGCTAAACCGCTGGGCCACCCAGGCTGCCCTGAACTGTATACTTTAAAAGGGTGAAGGGTCTAGATTACATCTCAATAAAGCTGTTATTAGAAACAGTACAAACCGTAGGACGCCTGGGTGGCTCAGTGGGTGCGCATTTGCCTTTGGCTCAGGAAGTAATCCCGGAGTCCAGGGATCGAGTCCCATACCGGGCTCCCCTTGGGAGGCCCCCTTCTCCCTCTGCCTATGCCTCTGCCTCTCTCATGAATAAATAAAATCTTTAAAAAAAAAAAAAAAGTATAAACCTTACAACAAAATAATGACTTTAAAAGAATTCCAACACTGTTAATGCATGCAGTAAAAACAAACACTCCACTAATTAGCAGCTCATAATAAATGATACAAATAAATGGGATGAACTATAATAGAACGTAATTGAACCTGTTACAGCAGCAATTTCACTACTTTCTTGGCATGATACGCTCAACTTCAAAATGAAATGTTAAAAACACTGATTCGGGCCTATGACCAGCTGTGGCCCATGGGCTGCTCTTTTCCAAAACGTCTGCTGTGTTCAGTGTCACCACTGTCTGCCTCCACGGCGCGGTCTCATCACTACAGCACCCTCCTGTCTTACACCCTGACCCTAGCTGGGGGGCCTCGATCGTGCAGCCTGCAAAGAGGGTGCAGGGCCGCCGCGGGGGTGCCACATGGGCCCTCCCAGGCCGACAGGGACACAGCACCACTGCTTCTGGCTCATAAAGGCTTCCCTCCAAAACCAAGACCGAACACGGATTCATGTTTTTGAATTTATTAATAAGCACTTATTGTGTCCACTCTGCACCAGGCTGTGGGGATCCCGCAGCAAATGAGACACACTGAGCCCCTGATCTCACAGAGAATCCTCACAACTCAGAAATGAAAAAAGTGAAACTGTAATTAAAGTAGTTCACATCTTGAGAGTTTCAGACTCCCGAGCATGAGGAACCTCTTCTAGTTATCTGCACCGAGTCCAGCTCCCTCGGAGATGCGCCCTGTGCCGGTGCCTGGCACCTGCTGGCACCTGCTGGCACCTGGCTGGCAGGCGGCAAACGGCAGAGCCTGACAAGTACCCAAGTACCGCCACCTGAGGCCGAGCCAATCACACTCGGGCTCACCGCCCACAAAGGGCTTCACGCTTCACGGAAACGTGACCATCTGCTGATCTGGGGTGATTCTAGAGAGAAGTTAAAATCCTTCTAACAATTTTCATCTCAAACACTAGAGGTTAAGAATGCAGCACACGGCGCCTCTTTTAGAGAGTCCCCTTCAGTTCTGAGGCTCTCTGGAGCCTCACCCATCAGGGGCCCGTCACAGGGGACCTGCAGGCACTGTGCTGCCCATGCTCTGAAATTTCCAAATGCAATTTGAGGTCTTTGGTCCAGCACAAAACATCACTCCCAAACATTCGAACACACTGGACTGCCTTACCTAGCATCAAACCAGTTTTTAAAGTCATGGGGTCCTGGGATCGAGTCTCACATCGGGCTCCCCCCAGGGAGCCTGCTTCTCCCTCTGCCTGAGTCTCTGCCTCTGTGTCTCTCATGAATAAATAAAAATTAAAAAAAAAAAAGTAAACCCCTCTGATATTTCCATTCTCAGCAAAGTCTTACTAAAGTGATGGCCGCCAATGGGTCAACACCACGTCGGTCAGCGGCGCAGGCCAGCGTGCCCCTGACAGTGCTGTCTGTGCCACTGCCACCTGAGGCCTGGGATGCTTCTGGAAGAATAGTCCCTCTTCTGGGGACGCGTCTTATTAGCCTGCTTTCACTGCCATCACAAAATACAACCGAGTGCCTTAGAAATAAAAATGAACAATGTATTCCCCGCAGTTCCGGAGGCTGGTCGTCTGACATCGGGCTGTGGCGGGGCTGGGCTCTGGTGGGCCTCTCCCGGGGCGCAGACTCCTCGCGTCGTCCTCACAGGGCACATGCAGCCCGGGAGTCGTCCGGGGTCCTGTCCACAAGGGCACTAACCTGTCCATGAGGGCCCCACCCTCATGACCTTATGTACTTACCAAAGGCCCCACCTCTTAATATCATCACCTTTGTGGGCAGGTAGTATTCCACCTAGGAATTTGGGGGGGGGGGGCACACCTTCAGACCATAATAGGACAGAACAAGGACAAAATTCACAGAGATGCTTATTTCTACTGGGGCACATCTCCACACACTGACCAAGACGGCTTTTATGGATGATCTCTGGTGGCTAATGTCCGCATCCCAAGGAATGACCTGCTGGTTATTAAACCTTAACAGGGGATCCCTGGGTGGCGCAGCGGTTTGGTGCCTGCCTTTGGCCCGGGGCACGATCCTGGAGACCCGGGATCGAATCCCACGTCGGGCTTCTGGTGTATGGAGCCTGCTTCTCCCTCTGCCTGTGTCTCTGCCTCTCTCTCTCTGTGTGTGTGACTATCATAAATAAATAAATAAATAAATAAACAAACAAACAAACAAATAAATAAATAACCTTAACAGGGTGAGAATAGCAATTATTTCCTCTGCCAAAAAATCCAGCTCCATTTAAAAATTCTGGGCCAAGAAATGAATAAAACTAGTAGCACTTTTAAGTAAGAAGATGTGAACACAGAGCCGACGTCCCCGGCTCCAGGTGGGGATGAGCCCTGTCTCCCGCCCAGGAGGACAAGGAGCACTGTTCACTCCCTCTCAATTGCTGGCTGTTTTCCAAGATCATGGAAGCAATTTCCTAAGTTTTTGATTTTTCTTTTATCAATTCTGGCACAAAGATACTAAAAAATTTTTTTTCAATGGATACATTTAAGGTTTCATTACTTCCAAAATGGATATTCACACAAGTCACTTGGGGAGGCAGGACAAAACCCATCTTTAATGTAACAACACATCATTCCCCTCATCTTGGGGGATGTGGTGAAATCTATTTTTATGAGAGGCCCTTATTCATCATAATCCTGCTTCTGTGATTTCTGTAAAAACCCTAAATCCCCTCTCATCTCTACTTATTATAAACAAACAATGATCAGGACCTAAGTCCCAATTCCCAGTCATTTTAGAGGATTTCCTGCCTTGTCACAAACTCTCCTTTACATTCAAGTGAAGGAAAAAAGTAACACACCACGTCACAATGTTTTCAGTCTATCTTTACCAAAGATGCCAAATGCATTTAACGCTGCAGGTCACCTTCCAACAAGCTCCTCAAAAAATAAAAAATAAAAAAAAAAATAAATCCCCATGCACGCAGGCCTAAAGCCCACGCACGCTAACAACCTGATGACCCAGCAGCACAGGAGCCGGGCAAGCACCCGGTACTCCCACCAGGGGGTGGGCAGTGGTCGGGCACAGACCACGAGCAGTCCCAGGAGCAGCGGACGGAAAGGCCGCACGACCACTGCCCTCCAGCACGAAGGGCTACAGGGCGGAGGGCTCCAAGCTCAGGGCCGCCACCACCCGGCATCAGCTCACCTCAGCAAGGGTTCCAGGCCCCGGCCGGGTCTGAGCTGCTCCCCAGTAGGTGCGGTCCCCAGTGGCCTGGGGCACAGGCAAAGCCCAATGGGCACAAGTGGCTCGGGGCAGCTGCCTCCAGGAACAAACCAGAGCACAGGACTTCATTTTGTTGCCACTGGGGTCTGTTCCATTTGTCCCCCCCACCCCAGCCCCACGTGCACAGTATGTGGCTCCTGCCCCACGGACAGTGGACCGAGAATCGCAGAGCCCAGGCATCCTAAGCAGCTCCTTGCTGCAGAGGACAGGCGGCGGCAGCTCGGTGAAAGCAAGTACCCCCGTGTGCCGTCGGGGCTGTGGGTCCCGCCGTGCGTGAGGCTGGAACCTGTGCATCCGCCTATGCAGACCGTCCGCTTGGCTAAAGGAGCAGGTGCTACGGTCCCGGGCTCTGCGGGCTGCCCCCGCCCCACAGCAGCAGGTCAGTGATATCCCCTCTTTCACGGCAGCGGCCGGCAGCTCCTGGCCCACCCTCCCCTCCAAGCCCGTATCACACAACGGCGACAGCGGGGGCTGGACACTCGCCGCACCGAGTCATGTACAGCCATGTCGTCCGGGGCCAGGCCATCTCTCACGGGCTCTGGAGACATCCTCAAGTATGAAGAAGGGGTCTGCCTTGATTAGAACAGAGTTCCTCAGGCCACAATGAATCCCAAGCCATAATCATCCTGAGCTTTCCCTTGCCCCAAGTATTTTCAGGTAACATTTTCTAGAAGTTTCCTATGGAAGCTTAGTCTGCTCTCTCAGTAGTACTGTCTAGAAGTTCATCCTGTTTAGAGTGTTCTCGTTTATAACTCTGCCTTAGCAAACATGACATGACCTACTATGGTGCCATGCACTGCATAGACAACTCTTACACTTTTTTTGAACAACCACACGCCCTGAAATCGCCCCACCCCGACAGGGAAATGGAGGTTCAGAGGGGACATGAAGTGGAGACACAGCCAGCCTCAAAGCATGCGCAAACCCCAGCTCTGTCCCTAAACACGGTTCAGCGGCAAAGCCGTCCTACCGCCCCTCAGGCCTACTGGGGCCCACGTGTGAGGGGAAGCACGGACCTGGCCGTGTGACCCAGCCTCGAAGATCAGGTAGGCTCTTGGAACTCAAATTAATACAGGCTATCTACAGGACAGTTCTCCCTAACAATCTTTTCTCCAGTAGTAAGTCTTTAAAAGGTAATAAGAAAATAACTGCATCTAGTTACATATTTTCGAGATTGCCCACTGGGTGATCCCAGGACAGCTGCGGGTTGTGGTCACTGTCCCCTGAGGAAGTGGAACAGGAAACTACCAGGTTCGGCACAGTTAATTCTCAAACTTTGTGTGTTTAACAGGGATACGTAGAGGATGAAACAAGGACTGGTCAGCTCAATATCACCAAAAGGTATAATAAAGGATTATTCCTCTAAAACAATACCTTACTCACAGGAAGATAAAAAGTCAAAACCAGTTCTCTAAATCTGGCTAACGCAGAGAGTAACAGAATACCAAGGACCCTCAGAAATTTCTAGAAACTCTATGTCCTGCTCACAACCAACTTCAAATGTTTATTATTAAAGTGTGTTGCAGCCCTTTCCGCTCCAAAAAATCTGAGCTGGAAAAACATGATTCAAGAGGCCCAACATGCTCACACAAAAGAATATGGCAGTGGGAAAGGGTCCTTTTAACACTAAATTCCTGGGGCTTCTGGGTATTTTTAAAAACTGATTACAAACTAGAGACTAAACAAGGCAAAGGAATGATTGTTTAGGGTCACGTCAAGGGAAGATCGACAGACCTGTGATATTCAAGTAAATCAGCCACAACGCAGTGTGAGTAATGCAATGGGAGAAAAAAGCCGGACTTCTACGCGTGTGGGGCACAGAGTTTCACGGGCCCACACCCCACTCTGGAAGTAGCTCACACAGACCCAAGGTGACATGGAGGCCTGTTCATCAAGTCCAGTCCTTAGGCTGCCTCTGCTCCATGGCAGAAAACCCTGCAGTTCCAAGAACAACAGCGTGGAAGACGCAAAGTCAAGTGTAGCTGGTCCCTAAAAATCACGTCCACTCCTTTTTACAAATCCACAAATCCACAGTTTGGGCTCAGAATAGGAGAGGGAGGTGGGGAGGAGACCAAGGGTTTCAGGAAGGTTGTGCTCTTACAAAATCCACACTCCACAGACACGGGATGGTTCAAGCTTAGGTCTTGACAGCTTTCTTCAGCAGATTTTCCCACCTGCAAGGGTCCAGGTCTTTCTCCACTGCCCAAATGTGAATGCACAATTTCTCCTTTGGGGGGAGGATTATACTGAAAATTAGTGTTGCATAAATACCGTTACCTTTTCTGGTGAAAAACTCCTTGGAATATTTCCCCAACATAGCGTATTTTCGAGGGACTTTCCCCAGCAGTTCAATGATCAATGCTATGTGATCTGCATTGGGAAACATTGCCAGCAAAACAGAAACACACGACAGTTGAATCAGTACACTGCATGCAGACACTGCTACCGCCCGCGCAGACAGAAACAGAGCGCGACCTGCGTGATCCAAGCACGGGCTTTGCCGGTGTGACCGGATGCACGGGGTGACCACAGCACGGGGCAAGTGTGGCCTTCCCTCTCAATTTTTAAATCAGCATGGGAATTTTGTTAGGTTGCCTTTTGAATTTAGGAGACAGCTCTGTCACCATTAATGCTACAGGCAGCTGCTATCCCGTTTCTGTCTGCATCGTGGCGTTTTTCAAAAAGAAGAGGTACTACCTCTGCGATTGAAGAATTCCCGAGAATATTTTCCAGACAGAGCAAAGTGCCTTGGGATACTGCCTAGCAGCTCTATGATGTGGGCTATGTGGTCTATGGAGGAGAGAAAAAAAGGATACGGGAATGGGAGGGGCACAGGGAAGGATGGGATAAAAGAAGAGGGGAAAAAATTGAAATTAGTAAAAAATCAGAAATAGATTCAAATCAACAATGTCTGCAGCACATTCATGCAGAGGCTTCTGGGGCTGGCAGGCCTCAGGCACCATCTGGAGCATTAACGGTGACTGTGCCAGCTCACCCCAGGCCACCCCAGCATTGCAAGCAAATAAGCATGGAGATGGTCAGGTTTACAGATGGAATTCAAGCCAGAATTCCCAGGTTTTCAACTCAGCTCCCCAACAGGACAGAGAAATGGGCAGTGGATCAGTGGACAAAAGGACCACAGAAAGGCTTTGCAATTCCTACAGCCTGTCGTCTCCTGGCCGCTGGGCGCCAGGCCCGAGCAAGTTCAGGCCAAGGGCTCTCCACAAAGCTGCCCATCTATCAGGCCTGAGGGGGCTCCAAGCCCAAGGAAGAGCATCTGAACTGGGCGTTTGAAAACCAAAACACAGCTCTGTTTCAGTGCAGGAATACATTCCTCTCCAGAAGCTCAGGCCTCTCCGGAGACCCAGCCTGAGATATTCAGCAGCGAGTGATACTCACCTTCGTCTCTGGAATAGTCTTCCCCAGAATGCGGTTCAAACAAATAATCTCCCGTTGCCAGCTCAAATGCCTAGGACACAACAGATGACACGCTAAGATGACACGCTAAGATAACAGATGACATTCCCACTCTGGGAAGTGGCCCCCGAGTGGCCCCCGAGGCAGCAACTGTTTCTCCTTGTACAAGAGACGTTTTATGAGGATCTGATCAACCCAAGGAGCCTTCTAAAAGAACTCAACACCAACCTTTTTCTTCCTTCCAAAAAGTTCAAAGAAGTCTGAGAAATATTCTTACATCTCCTCCACCGGAGGATGTAAAGGCTGCGTACGCCCCTCATCTTGCAGGAAGCATGCTGGCAAGCAGCCGTGTGCAGGCCTAGCGGGGGACTGCACCCCAACTCTGAATGGCAGGACCCAGACTTGATCTAGGACCAGGTCTGACTCAGGCCTTCTCTCAACCTGCAAGCTCATCTGGCCCCGAGAGCAGGTGAAGCGAAGACTCTCATGTCTCAGTAACCAAGAACCATGTTCTGTGTCTCATTTCTTTCATTTCTGACTCAACCAAAGGGAAATCGAAAGCCACAAAGAAGGCTCTGTGGCTCCTGCTTGGTGCCCTGGGGTGGAAAGAGCCAGGTAAGGAAGGCAGGGAGAGCTGGCCTGCCTCCTGGGCTGCCACTGCCTGCTCCAGCAGCCAGCCTGGAGGGGAAGGCGCGGAGGCCCCACGTTTCCATTTCTATCAGTCTTCTCCCCTCGTTATCAAAAAACCCCCTCAGGGCCATGAGTTTAATTTGCTAACATATATAAAGATGGTAACTGCTGTTGCTCTGAGGATCCAATACCATGTTTTTAAAATCTTTTTTTAAAAAAAGGAAAGGCTAAATCCTATTTTTGGTTTTCCCATACTTCAATTCTGTATTGGAGCTTGCTGTTCTGAAAGGCACCGGGGGACTTGCCCTCCCCGCATCCCCCCATTTCCACCCCTGTCCCTGAGCACATGTGGAGGAGCGGCTCCCCACCACTGCCTTCAAAGAACCAAGGGTGGCTGTGCTGGGGCATGACCACAGCGCCTCACTTTTTTTTTTTTAAGAAAAGAAAAAAGGAGGGAGGTGGGGTAACAAGATGGTTGTCAGCTACCCTGGGAGAGCACCAGCTCAAGAACTCGGGATCCTGCAGGGCTGGACACGCCCAGTCTCAGAGAAAGCTGGTCAGGGAAGGTCCTCACCTGGGGCCTCTCCCCTCCACACAGTGAACAAGATACACCGATCTTGGGTCAGGGCACAAAACCTCACACGTGGCCACAAATCCGAAGGGAACAATCAGATTTCATGGTGAATGTCCAGAAGAGTCTTCTTGGCTTGGGACGAGCCATGAGGAAAAGGAGAGACCCCCATGGAGAAGCCAGGAGAAGCCGCTGCGGAGGCTCCAAGGACAGTGCCACAGAGGCTCCTAACCCTGCTCTGGAGCCCTTGCTCATGCAAACATTTCCGTCAGGCTGAATATATTTCTTAGAGCCAAGCACTAAGACATGTCAACTGAGTGTTCTCTGAAAGATGGCCGTTCTGATTAGCACCCGTGTATTTTCAATGAAACACTCAAATCTAAGAAGCCCACAAAGAAATGATCTAAAAGAAAAAAGGAAGAGGAGAGGTAAGATGGAGGAGGCTCTGGTCCTGGTTCTCTGAAGAGTGACGGGAGCTCTCAACCCCGCAGCCTCTGCAAGACTTACTGCCATTTATGTCATCAAAGGCCTCCACGCCTCATCACCAAGAACAATCTGGAGCTTTAGTACAGCTTAGCATTATGAATTTAATATACTGTTGTATTTCTAAACTTTAACACAGGGATGGATGGGGAAACACTGTTTACCAGGTTCTCTAGGAAAAACAAAAGGGACCTCTCAGCCTTGCCTTCAGGGATGGAAGGCAGGGGTGGGGAAACGAGGCTTGCCCCCTTGGGGGGGGGGGGAACTTCACCATGACAACAATCAGCTGATTTTAAAAGTGTTTTAAAACTCCCCAAGTAACCCTCAAAGCCCTGAGGGAATTTATGCTTAATTTGGGAGGAAGGGGAGGAAGGAGGAAGGAGACAGTCTGCTACTTCTGTATCCCTGTTCACAGGAGGAGGAGCGGCCAGGACGCGGACACCATGTGGGGGGACAAGTCCTTACCTAATGGAAGGCAAGACACACAACCTGACACAAAAGCGTACCGACGGTTCCACATTATTCTCCTACCTCTGTGATCTTGTCCTAGTTTTCCGGTTATATCATCAAAATTTAACACCCCAAATTAGAAGCACAGGTTTCAGAGTTGAAAGAGCCCTCAAGAGTCTAATTCAGGGCAGCCTGGCAGGGCCCCTCCTGTGTCGCTAGGGACACCTAAGGCTTGACCTCACCACATTCCGAAACGGAACATTTCTCCCCACTTCCCATTGGCCTAGCCTCGGTTCCCGCCGCTTCCGGGGCCCCCACCCACCCCCCGGTCCTGTCCCTCCCCACACCACAGTCTCCACGGTCAAAGCAGCCATCACACATCCACCAATTCTTCTCACCATTCTTTTCCATACATTGCACAGCAAAGACCTAAGTTTTTGATACTCACCAAAAAACTTTATTTTAAAAATTATTATCTGGTATGATTTGTCAGAGCAAAGTAGGAAAACAAAGGCACACTGTTTCTGATCTATTTGGCCACATCTTGCCTCAGATCTTGATAACTTTACACAAACACCTACTTTTCTTCATATTATCTAGCACCACACTTTTTACTGTGGCCTCGGAGGGGACGCAGCACAGCGCACTCCGAAGAACTGTTAATGTCTGAATAACAGACGAGTACGTTTATTACCCACTGCTCCTAGTGAGAAGACGAGTGCGAGGCTTTATATACAAAGCCTCTTACTGTAAATATAAGAGAATTTGGGAGGGGTGGAATTAATAAAGAAAAACATGAAACAGCACCCTAAACACACACACACACACACACACACACACACACACACACACACACACACCTGTGCACACGCGCCCTGGCTAGGGAACAAGACCAAGAAAGAGAAACTGAAATTGGTGTAGAGACGAGAGGCCACTCATGCTCATCAATTCACAGGTCAGCAGTGAGAAGAAGATGCCCTGGTGAGGGCTTGGGGCAAGGTTTAGACACAAACTTGTGATGCAGCCAAAGGGAAGAGGACACGTGGGTGAAAGAAGAGGCGCCCCGAGGCCCTGATGAGAAACACCTTCATGTTTTCCATGCGAACAGACTCGGTCAAAGGGAACACATGCAGCTGCTGGGTCCTGGAAGTCAGAGGACAGCCCGACAGCAATAAGCCAGAATATTCCCTAGATTTTATAGGAGGAGAGATAGGAGGAGAGATGGCACTTAGGGAACTCCATCTCCTTAAGGAGATAAGGTCTGTCAAAGGTCACCAAGAAGGGTTACCTCAGACAACCCTCCGGAGACACCACTGCTTCATCATCCCCCCCAGCATGAGCAGAGGGTAAACCTGCGTATGACCTGCAAGCTTCAGAAACCAGGAGGAATTACTTGGAGTGATCTTTGTCATCAGAGCAGAAGGTGTGACGCTCGGGGCGGTGGCTGAAGAGGGCCTTGAGAAGACACCGATGAAATGAGACCAAGCCGAACCCCAGGACATGCCTGAGGGTCCTTCCAATTCACAACACGCTCAAGACAGCAGCCTTGCCCTCACCCATCCCACAGAGGACAGACTTCACGGCCAGGAAAACTCAGACCACATACACCGGTGGGACAGCCGCATCGTGAGCATTCAGGGGGTGAGCCAAGAGAAGAAAATGGCCAAGGCCGTTCTTACCATACACGCGGTACTCCAAATGTCAGCAGGTGTACTGTAACCTGCTCCTATTAAAACCTCTATGGATCTATACTGACGTGTCTGGATGTCTTCTGTGAAGTGTTTATGCTGGAAGGGAACAGACTGTATTACTATGGAGGGAAACAGACATTAAAAAGAAAAAAATAAAGTGTCTTCTAATATGTGATCATGATCCAAATGTTTTAGAAAGAAGACTCTACTTACCACCCAACAAGCATTTCCCAGGTCGGCAATTTTAACTCTAATTTTATCTGCATTCCGTGGATCCAGGGGATTCACCAACAAGTCGGCCGCCCGGGTTTTTGCTGGCATGAGCAAACAGCAGGACAGTTAGTGCCTGGGATAAGTGGTTTGCATGTGTGCACACGTTTGCCGGGCACAGTCTCCTTTTCTAGGAAAGTGATGGGATGATCACTTAGGCCTGGAACCCTGTACGTTGCACTCAACAGAATTTTAAATTCTTGGTCTCCATCCCTAGAAGATATTTCAGGAGAGAACACCCTGGGCTGCCCAGACACCTCCCTGACCTGGCCTTGTTCTTTCTCCTTATATCCCTGATTCCTTCACCCCTAGGTCAACCCTACTCTCCTCCCCTTGGCATCTTTCTAGCCACTCCTGACTGCCTCAGAGCCCACAATGAACCACATTTAGCTCACTGGTGCATTACTACGTGAAACACGAAGGTAGAGAGAACACGTTCCTGGGTGGCCAATCCCTTTGTAAGTGATGCTCAATTCACCTGGTAACTGCGTCACCTACCTCTCCTGCTTGGGCTGAGCACAGAGATCTCAAAGGGTAGCTGATGACTGATTAATACATACAGGTTAAAGGCCAGAACTAATCATTTTGGGTTTAGCTTTGAACAAGGAATGCTCCAGAACACAGGTCTCCTGAGGCAGCCAACAGGGCAAATCTTGATGTTCCTCTAAGACCTCAAATACTCAGACCACTCTTAACCCCAGAGGGACTCTGAGAGGAGCTCATCAGCCAACACAGGGTTATTAAGCTTCTCTGGGCTCTTGGGGCCCGAAAAGCTTCTCAGATTAAGTCCAGACCCTGCCCATATCAAGCACAGTTAACCAGGGGACAAATGACAAAGTCATTTGGGAAAATAACTTGGAGGAGCCCAGACAGAAAATCCTGAAGTAAGTAAGCGTCTTCATCAATTCTCACACTGACCAAAAGCTTGGACTTTTGGGAGGGATGAGATGTAACCAGGGCTCTTATCATTGCAGAAGTAATTCTTAAATGGTATTTACAGACTAAACAGAAAAGTCCACTCAACACAGAACATTAAATACCCTCTGTTCGCCCCAAACTGGGCACTGCTGAAGCCAACCAAACCGACTTCTGGGTATACCAACACCGTGGAGCCACTCAAGGGGGCTCTGAGTCCCTGGCATCCCCACACAAGCAGCAAGGCCAGCCTGTGCTCACCTGTTTGCAGGGCAGCAAGTAAGCAAGGCACCCAGGAGCTGGGACACCCACAGAGCTCCCCAAGAGGGGCCAGAGAAGTCTGGTCAACATCTTAACCCTCAAGCCCCCTCCTGCAGCTTGTGGATCGACGTGGGTGGGCCAGGTTCATGTGTTCCCTTTTTGCCATCTGCCCTACGACCACTTTCCTCTTTATAAAGACGCTGGTCCACTGTGGACTTCACCAAAGGCAGTCTGAGCCAGCAGAACACACACAGGAACTCGGGAATGACGGGAAGGCAGGCAGCAAAGACCCATACGAGGAAGCAAAATGTAGAGTGACTAGGGGACAGGCAGAGAACAGAGCTCCAGAACTGTACGAACGCTGACCCAGTGGATAGAGGGCAGCACTAGAAATGGCCAGAGGAGTCCCGCATGTCTCTCAATCAAGGAGAGTCAGCAGGCAAGAAAGTGGAATTTGAAGTTTGCAGAACTGGATTCAAATCTGAGTTTTAACACCAACGACTCGTAAGACTCTGGCAAATGGCCTAAATTCTGTGAGGCTCAGTGTTCAAGAAAGAAGAGGAAGGGGTCATGCCACCCCCATCCAAACCAACCAACCAACACCAATCAGCACAGGAGAGCCAAGTAGCCTCCACCCGCCCCCCCCCTGCAGGCTGAGCTTCCACCGGCCAGAACCAAAGGCCCACCGGCTCTCTGCAGAGAAGAGGGGAAGCCAAATTCAGATCAAAGGTCTAAGGAAGGAGGGCGAAGCTCCAGTTCTGACTCAGAGTAAGCTGGCGCCTGAGGGCAGGCCTGTGGAAGAAGGGGTGTGTCCACCACCGGTTCCCAGGTGCTTTAAATACACTTCCCAGAAGCTGCAGAATTCAACTAGGTTAGAGGAAATGCCCTTGAAGAGACACCATCACACAGGTTCAATCCAGGTTCTCTGCATTTAACACCCCTCATTTATGATTACGAGACAAAGCCTCTTTGGTGACAGGCTGTTACCCTCCTGTTTCAGGTCTGTAAACAGTGACCCTGCTCACAATGCATTCCAAGTAACAGGGGATTCATTTCAGAACTTTTAATTGTTTAAGAACACAAAAGAGGCTTTTAAAGGAGGACCTACTTGTATTTCTGACTTCCTTTGCTCAGGGTGATAATTACCTGGGTTAGGGTACCTGACTGCAACCCTCAGAAAAGCCCATTTAAACACAGGGACAGAAAATAATAAAAAAATAAAAAAAATAAACACAGGGACAGGGAATCCCTGGGTGGCTCAGCGGCTTAGTGCCTGCCTTCTGCCCAGAGCGTGATCCTGGAGTCCCCAGATGGAGTCCCATGTCGGGCTCCCTGCATGGAGCCTGCTTCTCCCTCTGCCTGTGTCTCTGCCTCTGTGTGTCTCTCATGAATAAATAAAATCTTTAGTAAATAAACAAACAAACAAACACAGGGGCCCACGTGCTTGCTGTGCACTCATACCAACTTTGCATTGTCCTGGAACTGGATCACCTCCTCTAAGCAATGTGGTGACCTCCCACAGCCCTTCCTTGTTCTCTGCCTCTACCAAGGAGGGAATGAAAAGTGGGAAGAGAAAGGTGGGAAGAGGCCACTTCAGAAAGGACTGGAGCCTGTAAATTACCTCCAATGACCTGGCATCCAAGTGACACTTCATTCCATGTGAGGCAATCTTAGAAAATAGTAAGGTGGCAGTGGTGGTGCCTCCAAGTGACAAGACAGCCGTCATCGCTTATCTGCAAGGCACCGTGCTGGGCTCACATGGACTCTTTATGTACTTTAAAACACCCTTACGATAAAGGCACGAGTACCTTCTCTACATGCAGAGGTTCAAGTGCAAGGCCCATGAAGGAGCAGCACCGGGAGATGTAATGCCTGAGCCTGACCCATTCATTCACCAAGTACTTATTGAGTCCCTTCTATGTGCGATCTTGGCACTGGGAATAGCACAAGCCAGACGTCTAAGGCTCCCCCACCCACACCCCAAATTAGGAAACTCACCCATCAGTAGGAGTGTGGGCAGTAAAGTAAATAAAAATGACTGAGTCACACGCCATGTCAGAAAAGAAAGAAGAAAAACAAAGGAAGAAGATGAACAAGGAGGAGGGTGGGCAAGGGAAGTGTTTCCAGAGAGGGTGACGTGCGAGAAGGCACCTAAACAAAGGCAGGCATGGACGGCAAGAGGCTCTTGGCAGAAGGCACAGCAAATACAAAGAGGCAGAAACAAGTTAGTACTTTAGGGAAACTTGAGGAAGAAGCCACTGCAGAAGGGGCAGAGTGAGCAGGGGTGAGGGGCGGGCTGTGCCAGAGAGCAAGCTGCCAGTGAATGGGCCACAGAGAGCTCTGCAGAAAGCTCATAAACTTTATAGAGTGGGGCCTCGGGGTGTTATTGTGAGTGGAAACAGGCTGGAGGTCCATCCCCTGGGAGGGAGAGGTAGGGAAGATGACAGGATGTGCGTTGGAAAGCTCTCTCTGGACAGCCCTACAGAGGATAGGACAGGCAGTGAGGAGCCACAACTGGCAGCTACCTGGTACCCTGTCGGGTGAGGAGGACTACTTGGCAGGGAAAGCCAGCAGGACCAGATGGGACAGGCCAAGATGCATGCTGTGACTCCAGCAACCAATAATCCAAAAGGAATCCTGCCTCCTCTTCTCAGTCTTCAGCGGCTACCCAGTGACTCCAGGGAAAAGTCTACATCCTTCCACCTGCACTGAAGTTCTTCCCTCCATCCTCTCCGTCTGGCCTTCTGCTACTCCCTAATGTGTGTGTACTCTGCTGTAACACAAGGATCTCCAGCAACTCTGAACACAGACTGTTTCTCTTGTCTGGTGTCCACGCAGGAGTCAGTGGCCAACCACCCACCTCTGGGGCAGGAAACAAAATGGAGCGCCTCACACAAGTGATTAGATAGGGCGATCCTGTCCCTGGTGTGTACCTAGAATTTAACAATATTGGAAAGATCTGCTCAGGAGGAGATTTGGATCAACGTGAAAAACAGATCCCCTATTTCTCCCTGATGTGACATTCGTGCACCAGAAAGGGCGCTAGGAATGGAGCGTGTGCTAGACAGAATAAAATTCTGATGGTGAAAGGGGAAAGGCGGGACAAAGAGGAGAAGAATATAATCAGATATCACTGATTTGTTTATTATTCAATAAAGGTTTATCACAGCACTGAGTTAGATGCTGAAGATACAAAGATAAAAAACGCACAGTGCTCTCAGAGATTTTACATCCCACTGCAGAAAAAGATAGTGGAAATAATGACCACTCAGTTAAGAAAAGCATGAGCAGTAGGTAAAGAGGGGAGAGGGAACAGACCTGCTGGGGAACCCACGTAGGGCTTGTGTTTGAGTGGTGGTCGGCACAAGAATAGGTTTGCTGAGAGGACAGACAATGGATATACGGAGGAGAAAACATTCCAAGCAGAAGGAAAGACATCAGAAAGGCACAGAAGTGCATTTGCACAGTCTTTATTAGAGCTTGAAAATAAACTGAGGAGAAGCTATGCCATAGTCATGATTGCAGAACTTTTCACTGTTTGCTCCATCGATAAAAAATGTTTGAATATTTGTAGATTTAACATGCTACTGTTCCTATAATTATGAACACTTTATAAAAGGTTAAAAAAAAAGTCTCAAAAATGGCTTGGAGAAACAGTGACTCCAGCCTGGGGCAGAGAAACTGTGAATTGAGGATGGGGTTCTAGAAAGCGAGGAAGGACACAAAGAAAAATGGGGTTATGTCAACAGGACAAAAGAGACAACTGGAAAAGGCTCACGTGGACCAAATTTGGGACAATTCTGGCATCAGGAAACAAGAAGCTGAAAATGATTATAAGACATAATCCAAGGTGTTAATTAGAAGAACAAAGAATCCATGTGTGCATGATATGAAGGGATGTGTGAGAGACTGCAGGGCAGGTGGCAGGCCTGGAAAGAGCACGAAAGCCTCACCTTCTGCATCTCCTCCATCTGGCTGCTCCTGCTCCTGAGTTCTATCCTTTGATAATACACTAGTGACCTAGCAAGTGAACTCTTTTCCTGATTCTGTGAGCTGCTATAACAAATTAACTGAACCTGAACAGGGATTCATGGGAACCTCTGATTCACAGCTGATAGGTCAGAAGCATGGATGCCAACATGGACTTGCCACTGGTGTAGGGAACTGAGCCTTTAACCTGTGGAATCTGATGCTGTCTCCAGACAGTGTCAAAATCACGTTAAATTGTAGGACACCCAGGCAGCCCCAATGGCCCAGCAATTTAGCGCTGCCTGCAACCCGGGTGTGATCCTGGAGACCCAGGATCGAGTCCCATGTCAGGGCTCCCTGCATGCAGCCTGCTTCTCCTTCTGCCTGTATCTCTGCCTCTCTTTCTATGTCTGTCATGAATAAATAAATAAAATCTCAAAAAAAAAAAAAAACGAAAAAAAGAAAGAATAAATTTAAAAAAAATGAATTTTAGGACACCAAGCTGGTGTTGGAAAAGCTTCTGATGTACGGAAAACCCCCTACACACACATTTGATGACCAAAGGTGTCAGAAGTAGTGTGTGAGAGTGAAGGAGACACACAGAGGTGAGTCTTTCCCTAGGTAAACCTACCTTCCATGTGAAAACATTTTATAAGCACCTTCAAAGACCCTTGGTTAAAGTAAAAAGGAACAGGATAGGATATGTCTACTCAAGTAAAAACAAACACACACACACACACACACACACACACACAAAAACCCAAAAACAACAAACCAACCAACCCACATCCTTAGAATGATTAGCTAGAGCCAGTAAGTAACAAAGACAGCTCTGCAGGCTTCCCCTGCTGGACTCCAGGGGCTGCAGGATTCCCTGTGCTATCTGCAGGGCTGGGTCAACTGACTCATCATGTGTTAAACACTCTTGTCAGCAGAGGGAGCAGAGGAGGTTTCCGAGCTATTCCTCTGTGGGCTAGAATGGAAACCATCTGCGATTGCTTACTGGAGCCCCTTTGCATGACACAGGTAGGGACAGGTCATGTGGCATTCACTCTCAAGGGTTTGACAAAAGTCATAATCACAATAAAAACACATGCCACTTCCTTTAAAATTGCTTTAACGTTTCAGTTGCAGAGTTCTACAATCAGGAACAACCATCAAAATAAAATGAGACTTCTTCCTCAATACAAAGAGCCGGTATATTTCCCTGAATACAAACAAAAAACCAAAAATTAAATATAACACTATCAGATGGAAGTACAAATTATAAACTACATATTCTATAAAAGCTATCGTACATGTAAGCTGCTGGACCTGGAAGGTTTTTGCAATTGCAGATGTCACTAACTATAGAAGGAATAAGAAAAGCTCAGAAATGAGATCTGATATTCAGAACGCAAGAGAAAGCCTAAGTGGTACAGAATACATTTTAAATTACATTACTTATTCAGAATTACAAAAGTAATACAGCGAAAATGGTTAATGCATACATACATGAATGACTTGGCCACCTCCAGGCCAATTCCCTTCAGAGCATTTGTCAAGGTTATGATACTCAGACCACGGAAAGCAAGACACCTGGCGGGGAGGGACACTTACTTTTTGGCAAATCTCCAGTGCTGGAGGCTGAAACCGTACGGCTTCTGTCATGGGATGGACTGCTTTCCTCAGGCTCGGTAAGTGGGGATCCCTCGGAAAGTGCAGAGCCACAAGCCACAGGTTCTAAGGGCCCAGAGAACAATGATGTGGAAAACTCTGGAAACTGTGACTCAGGAATTTTATGCCGTCCATTTGGCAATTCACCATTGAATTGTTCATAGGAGCTGCTATATGTGTAATCACTTTCTGCATTTGGCTCATCGAGGTTATATTCCTCAGGATTTGGGCAATCTTCTTCTTCATCGTCTTCATCATCCAGCTGCTGTTCCAGTAAGAACGGGCCATTCTCAATATGGCCATTGGTTTTGGGTGATTCTATCCAGGCAGGGTCTGCGTTGGTCAATTCCTGTTCAACATCATCTTCATCCTTCTCAGTGTTTTCTTTCTCGGTGTCTTCTTTCTCTTCCTGGTCCTCAGCCTCGCCTTAAAAAGTTGATGGGTTAAGAATCAGAATGTGTTACTCTCCTTAACACAGTGGCACTAGGTACATATTTCCTCCAACAAGGGACAATGTTGAGTGGGCTTAATTTAGGGTTATTTTTTTCCCTCAAATAAGCTCAACCCCCAATGTGGGTTTCAACCTCACAACCCCAAGAGAGTCACATGCTCCACTGACCGAGCCAGCTGGGCAACCCCGAATATGCTTGATTTATGTACTACAAAGCAAAGCACCTCTTGGTTCTCAGGGTAAGATCATAGGTTTTCTAGATCTCATTTTTTCATTCAGTAAATAATTGGCTAACTCTTATTAGAAAAAATTAGATTTGGAGGAAAATGACTCTTTATAAATAGAGTTGCCTTTCTACTTCTACCCTCTCTTCTACAATCTTCAGAAAATGTCTGTGAATACACTACTATTAGGTTAAAGGTTAATTAGAAAATAAAGAATAATCATTAGTATGATCGAGACATGGTGTTAGACATTTTCCATTTTTTAAAAAACTGTTTTAAAATACTAACATATTTCTGGCATTCGTTTTACAAATGAAGTGGCAGACGGTTTCCCATATTCCCCAACCACAGCCTATGTGGTGACCCAGCAGGTGCCCACTCAGGAAGCTCCAGGACCCCGCGCGACCCCGCGCAGACTGACCGTTGTCATTCACAGGCTCGCTCTCGGCCGCATCCTCTAAGCCGGCAGCTTTCAGTTTGCCCTCTGGGCGGTATTCATCATCTTGTTCATTGGAAGGTACTGCTGATGTGATGTTTTCTTCTATTATTTTCCTTTCGGCTTCTCGCTCCAATTCTTCTATCTCCTGCAGGCGCTTTTCCAATAACTCAGCCTGCCTTTTCTGCTTCTTTTTCAGTTTTTTCTTTTTGTTCTTAGATATTTTTCCTATCTACAACATGGGAAGAAAATACCACAGGTCAGTCTGCTTCTTTTTAAAGCACTCCACAAGACTACATGTGCTAGCAACATGGCAAATACCAACAAATCATGTTTCCTCAGGTCTTATTCATTAAGACCAAGTCCCCAGACAGGAGACCCACCTTGTGGTTAGGGTTACAGTAAAACCAGAAAAAAAAAAAGAAACCAGCGCTGCCTTACATCAAGTAGGGGGCGACTAGCAGTCCCTGTCCTTAGAGGGACACAGCTCCAATTCAAGAAGTCCACTTCAATTCAACTCTAAGAATGGAAAATGCTCAGATACCCCGGCCTTTAAACAAGAAGCACCCCTTGCAAGTTTTATTGCTGCCTATCAACAAACTAACAGTATCGCCTCTCCTTAATGTCTTACCCAACTACCTGCTATAAAAGAAAGGCCTGCCAGCACAGGTGTACTGCCATGAAGGTTGGTCAACAGTAATGCTGGTGTTTGGGTCTCACACAACGAGCTGGGGTCAACAGCCGGGACTGCAGAAACTGTCAGCAATGAACATGTGAAGTAAAGGAAAAAAAGAAAAAGCCACAGTTTCAGTCAGCCTCCTATCAGGGCCACGTGACTGGGAAAGTGCTGGCAATGACAGCCTACAGTCTTTCCACAGAATCAATAATCAAAACAAGCTGCTCAAACCACAGCAGGACTGTAGGCAATGATTCGGCTCCTCAGTAAGCCAGGTGGCATAATTATTACAACTCCCTCTTGTACTGGGACTTTCATTCCAAAGTGAGGGCTGCTGGCAGCACTCTGAATTTCTCGACATTTCCTTTCAAATGCTTCTGGTTCATAAAGCTCTTTCAAAACTTGTAGGTGACTCATCAACTCAAGATATATATATATATATATATATTCATTCTATCCTCTACTGGAACTAAACAGGTTTAGCGACATCAGGGTAAGTTTTAATTCCAAGCAACTTGTTTCATATGACTGGACCACAAAACAGACAATACTCTTCCATATTTAACTAGTGGCTGGAAAACAAATTAGAGTGCAAGTTTCAGAAAAATGGGTATCTCGGAGGCAAATCAGAAATAATGTTAAGTGTTTTGTAAAAATCACACTTCGAACTCTATCTTGATCAGGTCACATTTCACCAGAGTCAGCTAACAGCACCCTAGAAAGTGAACAGGGAAAATCTCTAACTATTCCAACTCTAAAAATCCCTTCAACTTATGAAAACAGTAAGCCTCATATATTCAAGGATACATAACATTTATCAACATGCCCATCTTTTACATCAAGATGGATTAAACATCTACAATTGAGAGAAAAAAAAAACAAAAAAAACAAAAACAAAAAAACATAAAATCCGTTTGCCCAAACAATCTTAAATGAAAAACTGTGACAGAGAGAAGCAGAGACTAACGTTACAACTTGAAAAGCTCAATAAGGAACAGTTGCTTTTGACATGAAGGTGAATATAAGTGTATGTGTAAATACTTACAGGTTTCTGTTGTGGAGCCGTACTCACTAAAACAAAATGAAACAAAATGAATGTTTAGAGGAAAATGGGTCTGTATCTTTATTAGGTAATCTCTATTGTAAAATGAAGGTAATCATTGCCTTTTAATGGCTATCCAACTTCAAAACTGTTAAAACTACAGAGCTTCTTAATCACAGAGATCTGAAGAAAGTTTATCCATCTCAAACAAATGACTGGCTCTTCAAAGGCACAGAAGTAGTTGTTCATTGGGCCACTTCCCTTATTTATCTAGAATTAAATACCCATTCATTTCAAAGAGAGTCAATCTCAAAGCATTGACTGATAACTTAAGAAAATGGGTAAGAGTTCACAAATATCACATAGTCATCTAACCAAATTTATTTTATAGACAATAAAATGATGAATGTAAATTAGGAGATGTACATCTATGTTTGAAAACTCTTTGGCAAGTCTATACAACAGAAATAAATGCTCTAGAAGTCACATGACCAGTCTTTGCCAGCTTGATCGACTGTAGGTCTATGATCTAAAAAAACACCCTAATGGTAGAAAACAAGACTAGGAGATAGTGTGCATCTCCCAAGAGCCCTGTCAGTCACAGGACTTCAGACCCTAAGTCTGCACACTTGCCGGACAATGCACTAGGGTGTAGATAACATGAAGAGATGAGGAAAGTGGTCAACATGTTACTGTAGCCGTTACACTCCATGGAAACCAGAAAGAAAACTCTATATGCCAGTACTCAAGGCATCTGGCCTTGTCCCACCCTTGGGTCTTTTGTAACTAATTCCAAATTCATCAGTTAGACTCAGATTGATGTAGACTAACTGGAGACAAGGAAGCATTCTAACGAACCTAAAACCGGAAGAAAATTCTGATGACTATAGGTCAGCTACAAGCAAGCTGTTACCATGTACACCTTCACAGAGAAGTGTGCAGGCGATGAAACAGCTCGCAGGATTTCAAATTATTGTTTAAGGGAGGACAAAGTAACTCAAATATTAAAGCATAATTTAATTGGGCATCTTTTTAAGACCTTTTTAAGAAAAATGTCTCATTATTTCTAGCTGTCAGACTCTCAAAAGTTCCTAACAAGTATATGTTTCACTCAGCTGCTTTCAGAGTGCAACTCTGCTGGCTCTCAACGCCCCCAAACAAATTGAAACAAAGCTGGCTTAGCTCCTCACCTGCAGACCCCGAAGGAGGAGGAGCACCTGCTTTCTGCCACTCGGTGGCCTCGGCTGCCATCCTTCTCACATATGCATCGTCCACACACATCAGGATGTTCTCTGGTTTTATGTCAGTATGAATGATCTTGCACTTACTGTGTAGATAATCTAACCCCTGGAGGACCTAGTCATAGTAAAATCAAGAGAAGAGAGGAGTTATTAATACCTTCTCTGTTCAACATTTGTAAAAATAAGTAACATAATCACAAGGCACAAAATAAAATTGACACAAATTTCTCGTAAAAATCTCCCTCCTGCCCCCACCCCCACAGGAGCCCAGCATCTTCCCATAAACAACCAATGTACATCATTCTGGAGATTCTTTATGTTCATGGAAGCAAATGCATCTATACACATACTTACATTTATAACAACTTTATTGAGATGTAATTTACATACAATTCATCCTTTTAGGTGTACAATTCGATGGTTTTTAGATATCCACCATCACCACTATGTAAATTAGGACATTTTCATCACCCAGAAAAGACACACCCTACCCAATGGGAGTTACTCTCCATCTCCTCCAGCTCCCCCAGCCTGTGCAACCGCTAACCTACTTTCTGTCTCCACACATTTGTTGGTTCAGAATATTTTATATGAATGGAATCATACAGTCTCCTAGAACAGGCATGATGTTTTAAAGGTCCACCCAAGTGTAGCATGTACTTCTGTTCTTTTAACTGTCAAATAATGTTCCACTGGATATGCTCTATTTTGTTTAGCCTTTCATCTGATGGATATTTGGATTGTTTCCCCTTTATGGTTCCTACAAATAATGCTGCTATGACCATTAATGCAGGACTTTCTGTGTAGATATACGTTTTTACTTTTCTGGAGTGTATACCCGGGAATACAATTATTAGGTCATATGGTAACTCTTTTTTTATACAGTGGCTACATCATGTCACATTCCCAGGAGCAATGCATGGGGGTTCTAGCCTCCTTGTCATGGCCTACACCATTCTCTTTTTTTAGTCACCCTAGTGGGTATGAAGTGTAACCTGCGTCTCCATGAGGTCTAATGATGTGTATACATTTTTAATACTGCAGGAAAGGAGGAGTAAACAGCTGTGGAATCCAGATCACAAAACCTCATTAACTCAAAGAAACTGCTGAACCAAAATATCCATGAAAACAAAACCCACAAAATTTACAGAGTGCAGTGACCACAGTGTATCTGAAATTATTTCCACTGGAGAGGAATTCTTTCAATTCTTCCCATGAACAAAAATATGTTTTTAAAATATTCCCAAGTTCCTGTACATCAGAAATTCTATATGCCCAATAAACATTAGCATTTAATAAATATCATCATACACTGTAAATCATTTTGGGGTCTTGTCCACAACAGACAAGGAAGTGGGAAAAAGACAAGCAGAAGGATATATAATATGTATTTCCCACTCTAGAAAGTTCTCAGCAAGAGCACAACGCTTCTGTCTCTTGTATCTGGCTAAACAACTGTAACAGATGACAGCATTAGGAAATGAGGGGGCAGAGAGGTTCCACAAGGAAAATGAGAAAAGGAAGACCCATCCCCTTAAACAGGATGAAAATCCCTATATTCATCTGAAATAACTTTCCCTAGGAAGCATTTTTACATGACTTCGACTGACCCAGCATCAGTCAAACTCCTTAACAGGTCATGCACCCAATTCCAGGTGTCTGACATATAGTAATAAACACAGCTCACTGTCTCCCAGGGCTCATGGCCCCAGTGTCCTCAGAGAACTTACTGTCTTATGCCAAGGGAAGGAAAGGGACTGGCCAAAAAGAAACCAAGATGAACCACAGGCGTAACAAATGCAATTTAATGAACTGCTGACAAGTTCCTAGGAAGCACCAAAACAGAGGAACAGATAAAACTAGAATAAGAGGGGAAAAAAAGCCACTTGTTTTTTTCACTTAAAATTAAGATTTAATGTTTGCAATAATATTGCAATTAAAACTATTAAATTATGTTTAAACCATCAAAGGACCCTGAAGAAAGATTCATTATACGTTTCCATAAAGAATTAGGTTATAATCCTGATGGGAACACAATCCAGTGGGCCTATATGTTATTCACTGACATTCATGCATCTTTCTTTATTCAAACTGCAATAATATGGGGGGAATTTTTATACCTGAATAACAGAGATTCTGAGAAGTACAAGAAGTTAATGGATAAGAACAGTAATGATGTCTAACCTATGGAGGCAAAGGAACAAGATTTTTGAGAAAATTTAAACAGTTTAAAATTCTTCCAACTGAAACTGCATTTCAAATATCAAATATAAACTCAAAGTAAAAATGTCAGTATCTTTTTGCCACCACTTCATGCCCAAGTCATGCCTATCTTTCCACCCTAGCTCTTTCGTGGTAGTCAGGTTATTTTACTTGTGGGAGCCCACACAAATAAGAGTTAATGTGATCCAGTATCCAAATGTGTTCATGAATTCCCAATGACAAGGAGGCACTTGAGACGAACAAAGTGTTCTCAGCACGAATTTAAGGTCCCAGACTTAAAATATTTGCAATTGCACTCAACTAGGGTTACCTTTCCATAAGAAACACAGCTTACGATGTCTGACAATGAACATAGTAAAAGAACTGACTGCTGAGACAAGTAAGTTAATTAAGATAATGCAAATCTGAAAGGAAATCGTTGAGAGGCACAGCACAGTGCGGTGTTAAAACACGGCCAGGGGACTCACACCACTCGCAGACTGCTCATTCCCTGAGCAAAGTACTTACACTGTCTGAGCTTCCATTTTCAAATATTTAAAAAAGGGGGGAATATACCTATTAAATAGAAATATGGTAAGAATTAGAAATGATCTATGAAAAAAAAATTTTTAATTAAAAAATGACCTATGGAATATCCACAAAAAACAAGGTTTACAGGAAGCTCAAAGTAAGTGGGAGAACTAATCTAAGTCAGAACATATGCACTAACATTGACTAACTCTGTGCTATGTATTAAACTTCTCTGGGTCTCATTCCTCCCACCTAATGAGTGGGCTATACACGATAAATTCTGTGTACATCCCACCAATGAAATTCTGATGCCATAATTTCTTTTAATTCTAAATTACAATTTTTAAAAAAGTCTTTAGCTGTAGACAAAAAAAAAAAACGGTTATTTTGAAAAATAGAATTTCTGTTCTCAGCCAGTGAATTTTAAAGCAATAAAGCATCCGAGAATCCAGAATAAACAGTAATGATGGGCAATCACATAATCATTTATGTAAAGTAACTATGATGATGAACAAAAAAGAGAAAAAGCAGTGAATCAAGCTCCATGCTGAAGGACAGATCTCCTCTTGCGAAATCTGAAAAACAGAATTAAAAGGAGCCTCTACTAATTTTCTGTGTTTCCTTTACTTGCCAGGCCCAGTATATTTGTCTTTCTTGCCTAAAAACACATACTTGGCCTCATCAGCAGGAGGCAGCAGAGGCTGCAGAGAGATCCCCCGCCTGCCAACTGCTTGAATCTACAGTTGCCATGAGAGCTGAGATGAATCCAAGCACAGATGGGCCAAGGATGGGGCTGCAGCTCATTCAGAGCCAGATCACACCCTCAAAAGAAGGGGCCAGTTTTCTCCTCGTGAAGTCAGACCTGCAGGCTAGCAGCAGTTTATCAGCAAAGGCAGAGCCTAGGAGCCCCCAGTTCTGGTTCAGACACTAACTAGCTAGTTCCCTTCCCTGGCCTCAAATTCATGTGTAAATTAAGAGACTTGGTTCAAGACAGTCTCTCAGATTTCCTTCTGTCCACCTATGAAGATAGCGGAGAGCATCTGTTACTGGCATCAACAACATAATCCTACTCCCCTCCACCACGGCTTTACAATAGGTCCCGTGATCCTGGAGGAGGAGTGAGTTGAGAAATAATGTGGGAACTTCTCTCAAAGATGTCTCCCTGGCCCTGCTCACCACCCAGAAAAAGAAGCTTCCTCCAAAAGACTAAACTGCAAAGAGAAAACAGAATGACAGCAACTTTCCAGATTATTTTCTGACTCTGGTCACCGCATGGGTACTTTCTTCTTCCCACACCTGAACACAGGACATCACGAGTGAGGAAACTTGGCCTGCCTCTATTTCTGTGGACAAGGCCTTGCTCCTGCAGCACCAAGGGAAGCCCAACTGGCATGGGAGGGCCAGCCCACACAGGAGCCATTCGCAAGATACTCATTCCTCAGGGTGTGGACAAAAACCCCACAAGCCAAGAAACTTTCCTACTGAGAAACCTAAGGCTCCCACGGATTTCTCTTCTTCAGTAAACAGACACGAGGTGACAACCTGCTTCTGACATGGCATTAAACTGAATGGAGAAGTGTGGGAATCCCAGCTCAACGGAAGGAGGCAAGAACTGGATGCACACGCACACAGAAGACTCAGTGGACACTGTCCTTGTCTGCTTGGGCCTGAAAGAGCCTTCTGCTCCATGTCCTCACTGGACTACTGAGAATTCATGAGAAGACCCTGGAGCTGTTCTTGCGAATGTGGTCAGGAGAAAGAGAAAGCCTCCATGCCCTGCACACAGATGGCGCCACAGAGCAATGAGCTGGCTAAGAGGCTTCCTGCCTGTGAAGGGGAGCGACTTCACCACATTTCCCAGTTGAGGACCCAACATTCTGAGGAGAAGGATTCCAAGTCAGGACAGAAACATGTACTGGGCAGCCCGAGTGGCTCAGGGGTTTAGCACCTGCCTTTAGCCCAGGGTGTGACTCTGGAGACCCGGGATCAAGTCCCACATGGGCTCCCCGCATGGAGCCTGCTTCTCCCTCTGCCTGCGTCTCTGCCTCTCTCTCTCTCATGAATAAATACATAAAATATTTAAAAAAAAAACCATATGTACTACCACAATGAATATACAAATGTTTACCAACTTAAAATTAATCTCCTGTTCTATAACTGATTCCTGGCTCAGTGGTAATGAATTCACTAGGAGCAGCAAAATAAATGTAATGGTAAGTTGATACTAAGTGTAGACAAGAGCATTCAGTGCTAACAGGCAAGGCCTTCATATGCCCCCAGAACCCACTGCCTCACAGCAGCGGGGGTATGGAAAAGCACTTCTATTTGTATTTTATTTTATTTTTTATTTATTTGAGAGAGAGCAGGAGTGTGAGGGAGAAG